TAAGTAAGATTTTTTTCCCCCTTCAATTCCTCTGGCTCGTGACTTGCGAAGGCACACGCACCTAAACGTTTTAAGATAAGACCTTTAACTTGGTCCTACGCTTATCTTCTACTACTTTTTCCCTTATTACATCATAATACATGACTTCAGTATCCTATGATCTGTACTTAGTTTCAGTTTTGTTTTGATTGCATTCCATTTTTCTCCACTCTCGATGTTACATTCGCCATGCATATCTACATGCACTGGGTTATATATATATCTTTGGCTTAGATTGGCATTAAGTAATTTTCTCAAATGTTCATTGGCGTGATTAAATGCATGTTAAGCTATTAGTTATAGCGTAATTAATAATTGGTGCTATTATGTCTATACTTTAGCTAAGGTTAGTTCATGACTTGGGATCATGGCTAACAAAGCACCATCCACTCGTCCCGTACGTGCGCAGGCTGTATTTGGAAACATAGCTAGTAACTCTTCTCTACAAATTTCTTTTGGTTTGGCTCACCCGGATGGAGATATTGAGTCATTATAATATAAATAATAGTCGCATGATCATTCCAACAAACATAACTTCTCGATCACCATGCACTCCTGTCGTGCTCATGCCTGATATCCATGTTACCATGTAACTTACATACGCATGCATCGTTCAAGGACTTGATAGATGGATTGTAATATATATCTCAAATCCATATTGAGTTTTTAACCAATTGATTTTTTTTTTAACTCAAATGTTTGTAGTTCTCACCAGAGAGGAGGGGAGAAGCCTACTTGCTAAGAGCATCGAAGACTCTGGATATTCTCCTGATTAGTCTCTCTTAAAGTTACGTATGCCATAGAATTTATATGATCCATCTATGGGAATATTATTACATCAACAATAAAAAATAATGCTACGTATCTTGATATAGAAAAGAATAACAATATATAATGCTACGACTTTAGGAATATCAAATACAATTATATATATATATTCATTTGTTTTTTTGGTTAGTTTAAGAGATAATATTATCTATTACTCTACAGCGACATCATGAAACCTTGCCACCGTTAACTATGAGACTATGTCTAGTCCTCATGTAAATGATTATTATAACTTCTTCTTTTGAAACTCCACTAATTCACCATTTCACCATATGAATTCACCCCGTACATATCAAATTATCTTGGATATTTAAAATCGCATTGTTTATATTAACACAAATCGTCGTTGAGTCTTATCACATTTGGACAATCCTTAATTAATTAGTGTAATTTAGATGGATCAGGCCATGGCCATCGTCACTTGCCTAATATTAGTAATCATAATTTATTTGGTCGATCACTGAAACTGAAATATATCAACAATCTTTTTTCGTATATTTGTATTTATAATTATGTAGAAAAAGGTGTTGTCCAATTAAATTAATCAGTCACTATAGCTTTAATTAGCTTTCTTGATCAGGTTAGAGAGATAAGGCTTTCATCAGCCTTATTCAATTACGATTATTAGTTAACAAAGACGCATATTTTAAAGCGAATAATCAACTCTCTGATAAGCACTTTTTTATTTTTTATTGGTCTAATTTTTAAGCAATATTGGATCATTATTGCACCATTTTTTTTTTACCTTTACGTGCTGATCTTGATAATCTTCCAAATATATATTTTTATAAAACTGAGTAAAATCTAATGACTAGATACGTACTAAAAGCAATTCTTTTTTTTTTTGTAGCAGAAACAAATAAAGTAACCTATATTCGGTTGAACGAGGAAAAGAAAAACTATCTCAAGATACATATACACTATACGGTGATTAGGCCCATATTAAGAAAAAGAAGCCCACTACTCTTTGTAAGTTATATCGGCGTGTTATAACGGGCCGATATGACCCATTTAAGACTGATTAGTAAAATGTTGGCAGCTAGTATGTTGTTTCATGTGTTCAGTGTCATATGTGCCTACACACAAATGAACCTGATTAGTATAATCTACTTAAGTTGGGGGAAAAAAGAAAGAAAAATAGAGCTGAATAATTCTGAAATAAAATTTGTGTGGTAAATCAAAATACGGGATTAGATGCATCGAACTCAGTAGTTGCTATGCAACACACAGAGACTTGGTGCGAAAGCTATGCATTTGTGTCTTTAACTAACTTTATAAGATCGATATATATATAGAATAGATCTTAAATTAACTTTTGTTTTCCAAAGCTTTCGAAGCTCACATACCAATTCCACTGATAAAAAAAAAACCTCCTTTTTGGACACAAACCCACACGACAACAATTTATTTGAGGTCTACTAAAATTTACTAAAGAGATCGACTTTGTTGAAACACTCTTAATCTTCACTGTAGTGAGACGTGTATGTAAATACAACCAGTCCATAAATACTAGTACTACTATTAAAAAGTTGGTCAGTTTATCATCCAACCTTGTTTTTTAACCATACATACTGTTTGTTTGTTTTTTTTTTACTATCTGCATTTTACTGTGTTTTTTTTTCTTTTGTAACAATTCAGATTCAGAACCTCTTTAGTAAAATATCAGCTGTTATTAACAAATATAAGTACATCTTATAAATAAAAAGTTGACAAGTTTTCATGGCTTCTTTCTTGAACGAATCTGTGTTTCCAAAATCTCTTTCCCTATGCAAAAGTATACATTCTCGATTGGGAGAAGAAAGCTTTGGTATCTTGTTTGACACTTCATTAACCAGGGAACTCGTGTTTTAGAGGGGGTTGGTGCAGCAACAAACAATAAATGGAAGAAGAAAATAGAATGTACGTCTCGGATGTATCAAAAAACCAGTAAAATGTGGATTTGTAATTATAGTAGTAAGTTTTATTATCTGTACAAATAAAAATGTTAATAGTAGTATTTGTTTGGAGAGTCCCCCCACGTGAAAATGGAAATGGGAATGGGTTAGTTAACCTTTTTATTATTGCAAGGCCGTTAAGTTGGACGACCGACCGCATTTTTGTCTGCTTTGATGATATTTGTCACCTCACCTCACCTCTCCCTAACATTATATATCACATACGCACATACAAATTGACGCATTACACAACAAATTGTTTTGTGTACCATTATCATGATACCCTTTTTATGGAAATATACTGACAAAAATGTGTTGTAAAACTTCCTAATTTAATTATGCTGTTCCCTAATTTAATATTTTTTTGTAACCAAACTGACATGAAACAAAAAGAATACACAAAAACAAAAACAAACACTGTTGTATTTCTAAATTGATGCCAAATGACGCACCAGTGGTTATATATTGATGAGTTATACCATTTAGAGCTATAAAGTGGTACTTAATATTAGTATTATCCAAAGTCATCGAAGAAGAAGAACAAAGACATGACAAGAAGACAGAAACAAGAAGGGAAGAAAAAACAAAAGTTGGTGTTATGTGTTTGTAGTATTAACCAAAGCGAGAACGAGAGAGCCTATCGATGATATCTCTCAGTCATATAGCAGGAGAGCCGTCGGATGAAGAGCATAATATAATCTGTATTCTCTTTTATTGATGAGCGTATCTATTGTCCAGTCACCACCGTATTACATTTACATTTTTGCAGGTGATGAGAGATCAACATCTATCTGAAGTTTGATCTCAAACCGTTCATTCAATCTCACAAAATCTCATCAAAGGGACCACGTTTTCTTTCGAGGGTGTCCGTGAACTCCTGTCATGTAAAGAGAAAAAGTAAGCTAATATAAAAGTCAAACCTATATCCTTTTTTTCTTTTTTTTCTATTTTTATGTTGGCAACAAGTCATGGATTTACTACCCTTAAAAGAAAACGTACAATCATTCGTGGTAGTGAATAATGTTATATTAACATCTATTGCGAATTTGTGACGTCCAAAAAAACGTTACCAAGTTAAAACTAACGTTTAATAAGAGTCGTTAAATCTCTGGTTCTTACATGCGTTATACATTTTTTGTTTGTCCTAATCTCAGTAGTAATCACAGCTTTATTATAAAAACTTACGTAATGAGATAGACACATGGCAAAGGCCCGCGTAAACAAGTCTTTGAAACGGACAACACATTTTTAAAAAAAAATACATATATCACCGGTTTCATACTTTGTAGTCAAAGTTAGGTATGAAGAGGAGGACTCTACGTGGACTCGTTTTAGTCAACTTTTTTTAGAAACCTTCTTCTTTTACTCGTTTCATTCATTTATTTTATTGTTCTAATACTATCATTACTATATAAAAAAAACAAAAAGAACGCTCTAAACAACGCCGCATTTGACTCCATGTCTCGTTTTTGAAAACCAAGTACCATCTTATATTAAGATTAGTTCTTGTTGATAGAGTATAAGTTTATTGGTTTTGTGTTTTAAGTCTCTGACAAATACGCAAAATGGATATTAATTTCCATCTAAGTACAAACATTTTGATTGGAATTACTATATGTAACTTAATAAGTTATAAACCGACATGGCCGACTTCAAATTGGAAGAGAAGATCGTTATTCGATAATCTTCTCATCCACCAAATGCAGTTTTATGAAGCTGAAAAAAAAAAACACAAACTTCCAACGGACTTACTCAAAAGATACACCAAAAAAATATTTAAAGAATAAGTAAGTTACACCAATATAGCATTTATTTTGAATTGTTATGGATGTTGAATAGTGTAGTCTAGTTCCAAAGTATATCTAGATGGAAAAAAGAAGAAACTCAATAAGAATCTCTACCAATCTTAGTAATATATTTTCAAATTTGAAAACATACACTCCTAAATAAGTTACAAAATAATTGAATATCATTAGTCATATACTAGCAGAATTTAAATTATATTGACTTTGGAAAATGCTTTTTTACTGGCGCAAGTAAAAGCCGATAAAATGGTTTATATCAGAAAGGCCAGAAGAAAGAGAGAGAGAGAGAGAGCAAAGTTTCATTTGTTGTGTAGCACTTTGTCTCTCGCATCCCATTTTTCAAAATCTCTCTTTATCTCTATCTCTCTCTCTACCTCTCTCTTCTTCATTTACTTTCTATAAATCCAAACTCATAAACAAAAGATTTTGTCTTTCCATCAACATCACTCTCTCATACATAACTCCCCCCTAATAAAACTCTCACTTTAACTCCTTCTTCACTTCGTGTTCTTCGTCTTTCTTTTCACTTTTCTTTTTTCTCCATAAGCAAAGAAACAAAACACATATAAAGGATGAATTCAAGAGCGTTCAGAGGAACAACTACAGATAACAACTATTTGGTCCCCAGGAGATCCAAAGACCAACAAGACACCAGTCCGGACCGTAACCGAATCTGGTCTGAGCCTCGTCATAAACCTGTTCTTAACCGGAAAGTCCCGGTCGTCTATTATCTCTGCCGGAATGGTCAGCTTGACCATCCTCATTTCATGGAAGTCACTCTCTCTTCCCACGATGGTCTTTATCTCAAAGGTAATTCAACAATCTCTTCTTACCTTTTTTAATTTATTATATATTCAAAAAAAAAATTCCCACTTCTTTCTTGATCCACAACTGGAAAACAACACTTTTCATACTTTTGTTCAAGAAAGTTGCTTTTTTTGAGTTCAAAAAGTTTTCAAACTCTTTTTTCCTTTTTTTGGCTCTTTTCTCTTTCAAGAACTTAATTGGGAGGCAACTAAAAAAGGTTTTGAACTTTACAATTTGGTGTGTTTCCATTTTCTCAGATGTGTTAAACCGCTTGAATGATCTTAGAGGGAAGGGCATGGCAAGTCTCTACTCTTGGTCTTCTAAACGGTAAACGATTCTTAACTCCACCGTCGGATCTATTTAAAGCTTCTTCCTTTAAAACTCTCTCGACCGTCGGATCTTCTGACATTTTTTTTCATATTTCAGGAGTTACAAAAATGGTTTCGTCTGGCACGATTTATCAGAAGACGATTTCATCTTCCCAGTTCAAGGTCAAGAGTATGTTCTCAAAGGCTCTGAGGTTCTTGATTCTTGTCTTGTCTCAAACCCAAGAAGCCTCCTCGAAACCACGTCCTTCAGAGATCCGAGATCTTTAAACCCCTGTAAAAACTCCGGCGACGATATCCCGGCGGTGATAAATCGTCGGAGAAACCAGTCTTGGAGCTCCATCGATCTCAGCGAGTACAAGGTCTACAAAGCAACCGAATCAAGCGCCGAGTCAGCTCAAAGACTCGCCGCAGACGCTTCTACTCAGACAGACGATCGAAGGCGGCGGAGAAAACCGGCGAAAGAAGAAGTGGAGGAGGAAGTGAAAAGTCCGGCGAGTTACGAGAATCAGAGCACAGAGCTGAGCAGAGACGAGATATCACCTCCACCGTCGGATTCGAGTCCCGAGACTTTAGAGAATCTCATCAAAGCAGATGGACGGCTGATATTGCGTCCTAGCGAAAGCAGCACCACCGATCATCGGACGGTGGAGAGTCTATCAAGCGGGAGAATGAGAGCTTCTGCTGTGTTGATGCAGCTGATATCGTGCGGTACGATGTCGTTTAAAGAATGCGGACCTGTTCTGCTGAAAGATCAAGGGCTGTCGTTGACTGGGCGTAGCGGGTGTACGCTAAGGAGAGAAGCAGGTGATAATGAAAGTGTGGAGAGGGTAGAGAAGGAATTAAAGAGTTTTGGAAGGGTACAATTGGAAGATAAGGAGTATTTTAGCGGCAGTTTGATTGAAACCAAGAAGGAACTTGTTGTTCCTGCTTTGAAAAGATCTTCTTCTTACAATGCTGACAGGTAAAAAAACAAAACAAAAACATCAAGCAGTTCGCTTTCTCTTTATGTGAAACGGCACGTAGTTTCTGTTTTCACCTTTTATGAATTTCCCCGTACGTGGCAATAATTGGGTGTGGAGTTTTGATTGAAGAGCTGAAAATGGTAAAGTTTGTACAAGTACATTTTGGGATGTCTTTCAAACGTCTCTTCGTTTTGGAACTCTTCTTTCTAATTAGTTTTTTTTTTTTAAACATTAACTGAGAAAGTTTCTATGGTGATTGATATATTTTGATAAATTTATTAGGAGCTCAAGGATGGGACCAAGGACTGAGAAGGACGAGGAAGAGGCGGTTCGAGCTAAGTGCATTGCGAGAAAACCGAAGTCGGTGGCTCCAAGGAACAGTAGTGGGCAGCAGTAAATGAAACGGCACGAATGTCTGATGAGAAGGAAGCTAGACGGCACGAATGTCTAACAAGGTTCGAATAACAAAGAAGAGAAGAATAGGGAATGATGATGAGTTGTAACTTGTAAGCATTGTGAATTGTGTAGGTTACTTAACTATATAAAATTTCCTTTGCATGCTAAGAAAAAAAAAATCAAGATGGGTGCATCTATATATTTATATATAAATGTTGTAGTTTGAACCATAGGTGTCTTTTGAGGTTAATTTTGCAATCTGATTTTTCTTTTATAACCCCAATATTAACTTATAAACTAGTTGTAATTGGGAATTTCAATTATAAATTTCAGTTAGTTTTGACAAATTTTTTCATTCTTTTGGTGTTTTTTCCCATTGATAGCTAAAACAAAAATACTAAATGATTATAGGAAGCTTCGTTTACTTTGGGAATGAAATGTCTAGTATTACTGTAGTAGTAACCATTGATTAAGGTTCTAGTGAGTAGTGAATACAAATGAACTAGATTTCTCTAAGTTAGCTGATAACTAACAATTTGATACATATAGCTAATTTTTGCAGTAAAAAAAAAAAAAAAAATTTGCAGTAAAGAAACCATTAGGGTCAATTTAGTTGAGTATATTACAAATTGACTATAGTTTGGGATGATTAGTTTTGAGAAGAAGTGAATTTTTATGTTTCTGGAAATATCGCATTGAAATCATTATATTATATGCGATAAAAGGCATTGAAATGTGGTAAAGTGATATATTTGTCCTTGAAATTGTAAATAGCTTAGAGTCAAATGTTGGGGTAGTGCCTTGAGGTTACAAATTTATAATTCTGAAAAAGTCTCTATGCCCTTTAATTTTGGCCTATTTGTCCTTTTTGGGCGTCAATTTCAAAATTTATAGTATTAGCACGTACACAATACTATTTTTTTATTTTTTATATATAATATAATCGTACCAAAAATAAAATTACAATAACCAACAATCTTGTCTTTTGACTTTGAAAACTTAGAAGTTTCCACTTACCCATTTCTAGAAGTGTTAAATAGCACTGTGTTATTCAAAGTCTTCTCATTTACATTCATAAATTCTTTTACATTATGAATTCCAACGACATGCATTTATTAGTGTGGACATCAAACTCGTAATATAAAATTGCTTTAGACATGATATTTTTGCTGAATACATTCAGAAGTCATATATAAAATAAAGTTTAGGTTGACAAAAGAACAAGGAAAAAGGTTAGACCAAATTCAAAATAAAGTACACTGTGTATATATATTGAAATATGGAGTCTATCAAAGGCTTTCAGTCTTGTTGCAGTACATTCAAGAATAAATAAAGATAAATAAACATATATAATAAGGGCATATAGATATAAGATCTTGCAGTAGGTGACTGACTTCATTGAAGTGAATTCACATTTTGGTAGAAAGAGCTGTGATTGCGTGTACACACATTGTACTTCACCAGTTCACAGTTTTACTTCTTTTTTTTACTATTCAGTTTCACTGAAAAAAACCGGTAAGGGGAGGTAATCATATCTCACATGGAAGACGATGTAGTTGTCTAGTCTCAATCTAAGATACCAAACTCGAGAGCTACTAGCCTTAACCACTAGTAATAACGATGGACTCTCCATTCGTGTACATTTCGATATTATTAGATTCATGCGATAAAGATGTTTGTACGAGCTGCATTTTTCGAATTTGGAGATTGATAAATAATGATACTAACGAGGAAGACAACATAAATCAGTTTTTAAAACATACTATATGTTAAGACTTTGGAAAATTTCAACCAGTATTTCACCTTTACTACAGACAACTTAATGTTCCGTAACTTAACATGAGCACTAACATAACTACCCAAACTCCGGTTCACATCGAATTTTAACAGAGATGGAGAATCTATCAAAAGACTGAAGTATGAACAACTTGAAGAGACTGCCGACTGGACTAGCTTGTTAAAGGTAACCCAACATGATAAACCCAACCACAGATATAGACCAAACTTAGTCACATCTTTGTTAAGAGCGGTCTTGGATCATTGAAACAAACGCCTCGGACCATGTCTGTTTGACTGAGCTAGAGACGTCTGATCCGCTCACTTTGGCGGTAAACATGTTTCCGCCTGGACCGGTAAGGACCCATTTAACTTTCTTCGGTGGGTTTGGGTCAATAAATTCCTTCAGAAATCTGGTATCATTCCGGTTCACCGCAAGCTGATAAATGTGTTATGTAAGAGACGACCATCACATCAATACAACCTTGTAAACCCCTAAACCATTGTAAAAGCTGAAAACCAAACTTTGCTTGTCTGTAAGCTTAGAAAACTTACAGCAATCTGGTTGGATTGTAGCATAGAAACCGAGTCAAGTGTAGCATTCCCGACTGATAGCAAGTATCTCTCAACGGCTGCCATGGAACGGAATTTATTCCCTGTTTTTGGCTCAATGTAAGACTGCAAATAACAGTATTAACAGATTTTGAGAACCCGGACTACAAGTCTATAACACAAAACAAACATAAACAGAGTACCAGATGCGTACCCTGTCTATATGACTGGAAGTTTTTCGCGGTTTCTCCTCAACGATCCATCCATCAGGTAAACTGAAATCTTTGGAATGGCTGCGTTTACACTGTAAAAGCATAAGCTTTTGATCTGCACGGTTCCTGGATTCTGTTAAGTATCTCTCGACAGAAATAAGAGAACGGAATCGTTTTCCTGTTTTCCGCTCAACGTAATACTGCAAAGAACAATACTAACTGATTAGCTAGAGACTCGACCCTTAAACCACCAAAATCATTTTCGTTACATATTACAGATTCTGCTCTTTTCTATTTACTCCCTAGTCCCTCCAATATCAACCGAACTAGGTTGTTAGCTATGTGACTGGGTAACATATGCATAGGGTCTATAATAGCAATACCAAAAGCAAGTCTCTACATAAGTACCTTATCAATCTGATAAGAGTTTTTCCTTGGAACCTCCTCAACAGACCATCCTCTCGGCAATCTAAACCCCTTGGAGGCATATTCAACATTACGAAGATCCTGCAAAAAGCATAACTCACTGAGTCAAGTATTTGATCCAAGAAGAACCAAATGCTTGTGCAATTTTAAACCTAGATCAAGGGACCTGTTCAGTTCTGGCTCCTTCATAGACCCTTGTCCTATCCTGGGAGACGGCTCGTGCTCTAGTCACGCGTCTATCACTTACTTCTCCAGTCAAGTGCCTCTGAACAGCTTCTAAAGATGAAAATTGTCTACCAGTCCCTGGCTCAATAAAGTACTGCCCACAAAGCCAAAACAAGGAAAGATGAGTTCTTTCAGAAGATAACTCTAAGATCTATCTTCAACTCAAAAGCATATACACAAGAAACGACTCATAGACCCTCTCAAGCAACAACCAAGAGTTCCGTGACAGCAAAATCACTAATTTGATCCAAACTTTACACTTTGGTAAGACATATCCACTACACAAAAGACATAACAAGGCTCAAATTCTTCAAATTGTTGCAAAATTCAGAAACAAAAACTCAAACTTTATGTCACATTTGCTTGATCTAGGTCACACTTACCGTATCGGCATTGCCGTTTCCGCTAGATGGCGGCCGATTCACGACGGTCCAACCAGGCAAAATTTTGCCGCGAAACGAAATAGTGTCCACGATCTGCAGCTGGTCCTCGCGGCGGAGGTCGTCAGACAAGGGTGACGATGAGGATCTCGTCTGCATTGTTCCGTTGCCGGGTTTAACCCAAAAACCCGAGACGAGAGAGTGAGGTTTTAGTTTGGTCAAAGCCACGCCACCAACACACTTTTTATTTCTCTGTCACTGCTTTCACGTAACGACACGCAAATAGCATCATCCACTTGGCAATCCTAATTTCTTATTTTCTCTTAACACAAGCTCTGTAATTAGAAGATGATTATAGAAAAGCTAACTTAAATCACGTGCAAATCAGATGCATTATTAATCAAAGAAAATAAATAATAATAAAAGTTTTGGTTTACTACTTTTAAAGGTTTTTCTCAGTAATAAAATTAATTTAATGATGCGAATAATATTTGCTTTATAACAATTAATAAGGAAATAATCAGATTAAGTCAATTTAATTTAATTTCTTTCTTCGTTTGAAAATTAAGTTGGCGAACCAGCTTAGTTGACATTGAAATATTAATCCAAACTTATAACATGATTTGATAGAGGAAACGTGAAAAAGATGAGGTAATATAATAGTGAATGAGGCTAGCTTGCAAGTTCGACGGCGATGGGACTCCTAACGTAGTGATGGGAATCAGTCCACGTCAGCTCGCCGAAGACGTAGCGAGAAGACTTCGCTGACTTAGGACGTAGAGTCATCTGAAACATTTTCACTTCCCCAACTTTGCTGAACTTGAGCTGTTTGGGTTCAACAGAGACACTTACTCCAAGTGGCTCTCGGAGACGAGCAATGTAAGTAGCAGGCGTGCCAACGTTCTTGAGTTTGCGGGTGACGGTGATAGAGTCTGTTAGGTTAGGAACAGTGATTGAAGGGTAGTTGAAGTCGAGAAGATTGGCTCCTTGGCGGCACATGTACTGTTTGTCTTCGGCAAAGAGTTGAACTACGGTGTTGTTGTAACCAACGGCGCAGAGGAAGTCCAAGTAGTCTCCAGTGGTGAGATCGTAGACAAGACCAGGATGTGCGGCTTTATTAGGTTGGACATGGCCGGAGCCGTAGCTGAAGGGATTTGCTTTCTTGAACGATTCATCTACCATGGGCTTTCGTCTGTTATCTCTAGTTCTTGAAGTTGTCATGATGGCAGAGCGGATAGCACCAGGACTCCATTGTGGATGAAGAGTCTTTAAGAGACCGACAACGCCCGCGATGTGAGGACAAGACATAGAAGTCCCTGATTCTGTGTTGAAAGGAGTTCTGCGATGGTCAGAGGCTAAGTCCGTAGGGCTGGTGGCTTCCGTGAAGGCGGCTATGACGTTGACACCAGGTGCAGTGATGTCAGGCTTGAGGATCCCTGGTGTGACGGTGTTTGGTCCTCTGGAAGAGAAAGAAGCCATGAAAGGAGCAGGCTTTGTGTTCAATGTACTAGTTGGTGCTTTTATGTAACCTTTGGGATCTTTTGTGGAATTTAGGTACGCAAACACAGCTTCCCCATCCTTGTAGTCAATTTGAGAAGCAGGAAGAACATGAGCGTCTGAGATTATTTCGTTTCCACTCGCCTTGTCGTTGCATAGAATCATACCCAAACCCCCCGCAGCTGCCACTTGCTGTCCCTTTTCCACACGTGCGTTGTCGCCTCTAAGACACACCACGATCTTCCCCTTCACCTTCACCGGGTCTAAGCTTCCTTTCTTGCATAGCAATCTATGTACCAACAGTTGTTTATTTAGTACTTACTAACTTTACACATTACCAAAAATGGATATAGCTTTTTGACTTACGCATCTGTTGCATTAGCATTGGCTACATTAGCTTCTGCAGCACTGATCAGGCTGTACATCTTTTCTTCGGGCAAAGGCTTTGAGAGGCTTGTTCCCTGCGTTCAAAATTAGTGTATTGTACCGCAAGAGATAGAGGACAAAAAGTTTTTACAAAGCAAAGATCAAACCTTGAAGCTTTGGCCGTTGTTCAGCTTAACAAAGGCTTGAAACTCACGATCCATAGAGCTAGCTCCGACAGTAATAATCCATGGTGCTACGTTTGAGACAGTTCCAGGCTTAGGACCTGAATTTCCAGCTGAGCACACAACCGTCACACCATTTTTGACGGCGTTGAAGGATCCAATAGCTATGCCATCGTTCAAGTAATCTCCGGCGTCTCCTCCAACTGAAGCCGAAATAACATCCACACCATCGTCTATGGCAGCTTCAATCGCTGCCAAAATATCAGCATCAAAGCACTCCGCGCCATTCACAGGCGGCCAACACACTTTGTAAGCAGCAACTCTAGCTTTAGGAGAGCCACCGCTGGCTGTCCCGTTCCCAAGGCCAAACACATTGGCTCCGGGAACAAAGTTACCGGCCGCCGTGGAAAGAGTGTGGGTACCGTGACCATCGTAGTCACGAGAGGTTTCAAATGAGGCGTTGGAGGGAAGGCCTGTGTAGGCTAAGTAACCTTTGTTAAAGTACCTAGCCCCAATGAGTTTCCTGATTACATGTGATGAATCAATAATATATCATTTGGACTGGATATATCTATAATATATTGCAAGGAAAATTTTCAATTAAATTTAAGATCAGAACCTGTTGCAAGGAACATCCTTGTGGCATTTGCCTTTCCACCTAGCTGGAACAGGTCCATACCCTTCATCGCTGAAGCTTTTTGATTCAGGCCACACACCTTCATAAACATAGAAATGAAGACTTGATATATAAAAACATAGAGAAAGGTTCATGACTTCAATATGATAATTCAAAACCACATGTGTAAGTGTGTAACTATAATAAGCAACGCACGCCCTTTAATTGGGAATTTACCTGTGTCCAAGTTAGCGATAATTGTGTCCTCTCCATATCCTGCTTTGTTCCACAGTGAGGACTTGTGAACAACACCATTTTTCTCAAGGAGCATGAAATTCCATGAATGAGTGGTATGCAATTTTCTTCCTTTGTTTAAGAATACAGAGACTACATCAGGGTGCTCTGCATATCAAATATATTTAAAATTTTCGTTAGGGTGAAACCAAAAAAGGAGATGAGAAGCCACATGTAAGAACTATGAGGAGTGATGAACTCACTGGCGATTTCTGCAGCTTCATTTTCGTCAAGAACCGCGGCGAAGCCATTGATATGTTTCTTGTATGAGTAAAATATGGCTTCATTTGCATTTTGATGGCTGCGATATATATATTGAACATTATCTATTGTATTGTACTAAAAACTCGGACTAAACCATTATAGTAAATTCGCAATCCAGACGTAATCTAGTTCAGTTATACTACTTTTTAAACCTAGACTTAGTGTCTTGCCTAAAACCTAGACCTAGTGCTTCGCATAAAACCCTAAAAACCCAATGTCCCGCAAACATCCACGACCAGCCTGGTAGCCATATAAGATGATCCGGTGATACAAACTACTTCCCGGCCGGCTAGCTTTTTGATCCAAATTTTAAAACATTGGTTTTACATTTTCATAATAGAAATAAATTAATAGGAGGTGATGATATACCTTCCCACGAAAGAGGAGAGAAAAGTTCGATGCGAGTGAGCAACACCATCAAGATGGGCAGAAGAGAGTTGATCAGTAGGATGAGCGTGAGATCCCAAGTACACAATGTAAGACTGTTCCCAATTCACACAATATTAGTACAAGTGCCTAGAGATCGTAAAAGCAATGTAAATATATAGAGAGTTACATAGGAAACAAGAGAGAACCTTTTTGAGAGCAAAAGCAGGAGAAGCCAGGAGAGTGACGAGGAGAAGAAGAAGAAGAGATAAACTTCGGAAGCTCATTGTGTGAGAGTATTGAGTAGTATTCGCATCTCTTCTCGTCATTCTCATGTACAAATACTTCTCCACAAATCTCTCTCTCTCTCTCTCTCTATCGCTATATTTGGTAAATGGATCGAATCACGCGAATAATCTCAGCTTAATTACTATTGAAGTTGGTTGAGTGATTTCAGCATTAAAAAAAACTATTATCTCTTCCTCCCTCTGTCGTTATCTAACTTCAAAAAAAAAAAGGGTAAGAGGATCTTCACAATCTTGTTTCCATATTCATCTCCCTATTTTATGGAATTACATTCCCTAAGATTTATTAGCCAAAACAAGTTTTATTTATATGACGTGTACGGATTTACTTTTTAGTACTTTTTATTAGACATGCTTTGTACGTAAAAGAAGATAATTTGATTATTCAACATTTCAACCTTAGTAAACAACATAAAATGTTAATTACTTGTCTACAATTTTAAGTCTATGAATGGGAGGTTGGTTGAACCTATTGGGCTGTTACATGTGACTAGCTAGATAGCAAAGGTGGGCAATCACCTCACTACAAGGATCATGTCAAATTTTCATTACCATTAAGGCATTAAACCCCGAGAACCCCATGTAACGGAAGATGACTGGTTTTTATATAATTTTAATCAAATTCTTCAGTTTCATATATTTTGTTTTTTTTTTATGCTAAGCGAGTTTCATAATTTGACCATTCTGCATTAGTTCTCACCAAGGAATATCATCTAAATAAAACGAAGATTAATCTAGCCAATTGTCACCAAGGGAAGTGTGTTTTTGGTGTGCATCATGAAGCTATCGTCAGAGGCTCTCGACTTGATATTTTTTTTGAAAATATTGCATGAGGACATATTGTCATGAAGCTATCGTCATTTATTGTTTTTCTTTATATATGTCCTCATGAAAATATTGGCTTTGTTTTGTCCCCTCAAATAAAAAAAAGTAAACAAATTTTAAGAAAAGTAAATTAAGCTTGGGAGATCCATAAGATGGAAAACGAAATAAAGAAACAATCTGATAAGATATTTAAAATCCGATCCTTCTAGTTTGCTAATAATCTCGAAACTATTTTGAATTCTTTGTATAGATGGAAGCAACTCCGAAGATACGTGGTGAATCTGGTGATAGGACCAAAAAAAGTCATTAAAAACAAAGCTAACCGGCCGATCTGAGACAAGTATTTTGGTACGAATAGTTGCAGGCCTAATAAAATACGCTTATGTTCGTTCATGTGTCCTAGAAACAAAATAAGAAAGAAATATGTTGGTCGTATACTCTGGTCTCTGGAAGTGTGTACAAGTAAAATATTTCGTTGGCGTAGAAAGAAAAGTGGAAACTGATAGAGAGAGTCAAAGAAAGAAAACAAAACACAAGTAGTAGTAGTAGTAGTATCTATCCAATTCATACTTTTGGTTGGTAATCCTATAAACCCAACAATCATATAATATAATTGTCCAATTATGTAAACTATTATTGACTTGAATCATTTATCTAATGGTTTTATGGAAATTTACAAGCGAATCATATGGAGTGGTTAGGAGTGTGAAAACACGAATCTTACGGTATAATAATTAAAATAAGAGAAGATTATTAAAAAATTATACAAGTAAGATTTTGGTTCCGCGTGGAAAAGGCACTAGAAAGCGCCACGAGTCACTATCTTTTTTTTTCTTAATAATCGGCTACTTCTACTTGCTTCCCACGTTTCTATCAAAGCCTCCTCCGTACATATCTTCTTGCTATCTAGTTTAGATTTCTCGATCACACGCGAGTTTATTCAAACGCGTACGTTTCACGTATTATATATCCGTGGTGGTGGTGGTGGTGGTGTCATGCCTTCGCTGGGATTTCTTGTTCGTTGCTCATTGCTGACGACAGTTTTTGACACAGAACATTCTAAAACAAACTGCTTTGTACTAATTTTATATCAAAACACACAAACAGAGTAGGTAGCTCACTTTCTACTTTCTAGAATACTTCATCTGACCCATACAAAATCCTAAACAATCTATTTAAAACAGAAGACCTACTAAACTATCATAAAAAGTAATAAACCAATATCTATATATCTATATATATCAGATTTTTGTATGATATTGCTCAAATATACGTGTCCACATGACAAAGTTGTATAATAGCAATGGATATTAACGAAATTGGTAATCCTTGTATATAAATATCAATCAAGTAAACTTGTAAAAGAAGCATTTTAAAATATACTTTTAACAATAATCAGATCATTCGTATCTTTTCTTTTTTTGGTTGGTTCAATTCATTCGTGTATATCTCTAGAAACAAATTCAGTCTAATAATATCTAGAAGACGGCTGAGAAAATCACGCGCCGCGAGTTGTGAATACAACAAACCCAGCAATCAAAACTTGATATTGTACTACTAGTCTTTTTTGTTGACGTCAACTCAAAAGAGTTTTTGATGTGTATCCCCCAATTAATAATTAAAAAGTATCTAAATATATTTTAAATAAAATAATAATAAAAAATAAATAAAAAGGAGTATTTGGAGAAAACACGAGGAAGATTCTCATCCAATAGAAACGACTCTTTCGTGTTATTTTTTGTTTTGTTTGTTAAGTTTGTTTAAGCTTCTTCTCAAGTCTCTCCAAAAAAGCAAACGCGGTGTCGCAAATGGTGACCACATAACACGCATCTTCCTTGTTCGCCCCTTATCTTTCCACGCAATTACGTGAAATACCACACTCTTCGCTGCCACTTCCTTACCCACCAAGTCACCAAGGCTAATTCCGTCATCTTCCACACGTCTTCACTCCTCCACACAACACAAACTCGGTATCTATATATACTTCCCAAACACACACAACACAACACAACTACTTTCACACCAAACACACACACACAAAGAAAATATATCTTTTTATTCACATCATCATCAGAAGAAAAAACAATGGTTGCAAGATCGGAGATCATTAAGTCGACGGTGGATGTCACGGCTGCTAATTTGTTGATGCTCTTGTCAAGAGTCGGACAAGAGAACGTTGACGGCGGTGGAGATCAAAAACGCGTTTTCACATGTAAAACGTGTTTGAAGGAGTTTCACTCGTTCCAAGCCTTGGGAGGTCACCGTGCCAGTCACAAGAAGCCTAACAACAACAACAACGAGTCCGTGCCTTCCTCTCTCAAGAAGGCCAAAACGACGTCTCACCCTTGTCCCATATGTGGAGTAGAGTTTCCCATGGGGCAGGCTCTTGGAGGCCACATGAGGAGACACAGGAACGAGACTGCCGCTGCCGGCGCGTTGGTTACACGCGCTTTATTGCCGGAGCCGACGGTCACTACGTTGAAGAAATCTAGCAGTGGGAAGAGAGTGGCTTGTTTGGATCTGGGTCTAGGGATGGCCGAGAATCTCAATCTCAAGTTGGAGCTTGGAAGAACAGTTTATTGATTTCTTTTTCTGGATATATTTGTTTTCTCTATCAATCATTCTTTGAATTTTTCTTAATTATTTAGATTATTCTATACATACATCTCCAGATTTAGGAAACTTTCATAGGAGTGTAATCTCTTCTTTTTTTTGTTCTGTAAAAATATTTTGTACTTATTATAGCATTGGAGTTTTGTATATCTTACTTACTCTTACCATTTGCCATTTGTTGAGAATTATATATGTATCTTGAGCTCTCTTCTTTATTTTGGCCGACGTGAAAATATCCTATTTCTAATTATTTTTGTATCCTTAATTTTATAAGATACATATCATGCTGTTACATCACGAATAGAAACAACTCGAGAAGAGATGCTTTAGTTGTGTGATCGATGGGTCTAACAACCGACGTGATCTAACAACACCATATATGTACGGTCTCTCTCCTTCTTTTACTTTTACTTGTGGATCAAAGCAACGTTGATCATCAAAGCTCCTTGGTGTTAATTAATATAAGGAGTATATTGGATTCCAATATCTTCACTACTCCATTGTTGACTAGCATTAGCAGACGTTATTGGAGGTTGCATCAGTTTTGGTTTAATTTAAAATATAGATAACTTAGCTTGGTTATGTTAACAGGTTAAGTTAGATACTTGTATATAACAAATACAATTGTACAGCTTTACTTTCTTGAGAAGATATAATAAGAATCCGAAATATCTAACAGACTTTTTTGTATCGATTCTAAGTTCGTAATACATGTTGTCTTTTAGTTTATGATAGCATCAGCTTCAAATGTATCTTTCATACTCAAACACTATGGCCCTGTTCGTTTGGCAGTCGCAGGTGCCTTGCGACTGCGACTGCGACTAGTTTTTGTTCGTTTGGCAGTCGCAGGTCCTTGCGACTAAACGCTGCGATCAGTCGCAACTACTTGCGATCGAAATTTTTAATCGCCGGGTAAATCAGCGATGCGATTATGAAACCTGCGATTAAAAACATAAATGACAAAAATACCCTCATTCTTTTCTAAAAATTACATCTAAACCTAAGACCTAAAAATCGATTCATCGTTCTTTCTCTTCTCCTCAGCTTCCTCTTTCAAACTTCTAACCCTAGATCTAAAAACAAAAGCTGCTGTGTTCTTCATCGAGATTCTTATGAGCCCAGACGAACCCAGATCTTCTACTCTCTGATTGTTTTGTGTACGTTTGTTCTTTTGAGTAATGGTGATTAAAAGGGTTTTTTTTTGTGTAATGGTGATTAAAAGGGTTTTTTTTTTGTGTGAATTGGGTGTTCTTTTGTAATCATTTTGATGGGTCTTTACTGATAGTTTTGTGGGTAGTGTTTTAAGGATTTGTATAGACTTTCATTGCATATTGAAAGGACTTATAGCTTTTAAAAGGTTGAATTTTGTAATCCGAGAATCTTACTTCTAAGACATTTGTGTTCATTGTTATGTATCTTAAGCTTAGTTGTTCTGTTTCAGTTTGACTAATGTGGTTTCATACTCACTTTGCTAGGCTTGGACGTTGGGAAAAATACTAAAGTTGATTTGGCTGAGGAAGATTAACGCAAAGCTAAAGCATTAAGGTACTTTCTATGCAACCCAAATTCTAGATAACTAATGAGCATTAAGGTTTCTCTGGAAAAACCAAACCAAGTTGGAAAGGCTATAGAGAGAGTGAGAGAGTGAGAGAGAGATAGAAGGCCTGAGAAAAAAGGATTTTTGTGTGTGTGTGTTTCTCAATAAGTAATGGTGGGAGAGAGAGAGAGAGAGCAGAAAAGAGTTGTATTTGGAACTGGTTTTGGAATTGTATTTGCAATTGGTTTATGTTTGGAACAAAAAAGTTTAGATTTTTCTGGTTTATGTTTATTGTTGCATTGTGATTTGAATCCACTCATGTTTTTTTAATTCTTGTTTGTTAAATATCTTTGATGTGACTTCTGTTTGTGGTGGTGATTGGTCGTTCTGCTCTCTTTGATCAAGAGTGGAATTTATTGCTTTTGTTTGATGTTCATTTCTTCACTTTTTGCTGTTTTAATTTAGTGTTTTTGTTCTTGTGTGTTTATAGAGGCATGTTGTCTTCACTAGCTTAATAAACGTATTAGCTATCTAAGAAACGTATTTGTAACTTCTTTAGAACTATAGTTGGGCTCCATTTAGCATTGGTTTTAAAATCGCAGCCGCAGTCGCAGTTGTATAGGCTGTTGTCTCTCCAGCACAGACACGCAACTTGTTGCAAGACTTATTTGCTGATATAGCTCTCGAAGTTGACGAACGAGCCAAAGGTGATTTTGGTGAATTGTTTCATGAATTAGTTTGCTTTTAGACTATTTAACTGCCTGGAATTTAACTTTTTTTTGGAGCTCGAATTGGAAACAGATGTGATCCTTAGCAAAGAAGAAAATGTGATTATCTCTGATGAAGCAGATGCTGATGGTCCGCTATGTTTTTTCGACGTCCTTGCTGATTATTATGTGAAAGTGTCTGAGAGGGGAAAAGATATACTTGATTTGATGGTGCAGCTCTGGAGCCAGTCCTTTGCATCACATATATTCTCTCTGCTGTTTCATAAATGGGTATTGCCAACCTTACGATTTTGCTTTAGTCTTATGATTTGTCTTCCGAGTCAATAATCTTCAACATGTTTCTATATTTTTCTCAGCTGTTTGAAGTTGAGCTTGAAAATCAAGAAATACTTCTACGATATTCTTCGGCTCTGGTGCAGGGAGCAACAAATGTGTTCTGGTAATATTTATGAACTTTGGCTTAGTAAATTAACATCTTCACATCATGTTTACTCGCTTGGTTCAGTGTGTTTACCTCACTAGGTTCAGTTGTGTACTTTGGATCTGTAGTAGTGGCATTGGCCTAATTTAAGTATGTAACTTCTAATTTTTTAGTTTGTTATGTGATAGTCTTTCCAAGTCTCTCCCTACTTCAGATTGCCTTGCCAAGCAATATGAGGGTAATAGTTGATAACCTCTACTTCTATTAAATGCAGGATAGACATCCAGACAAATACGAGGCGCTTCCAAAGTCTCTTTCGGGTACCTTCTTTTCCTCGTAAATATCATAGTTTCATCTTCTTTTGTTAGATAATTTTACGTATGAAGGAGCTTTAAATATTTAACAAATGACTTTGATATGTAAATTAAGATTGTGTTCTCAACAAAATTCTATTACCCATCTTCGAGCTAGAACATAGAAACTACACATGTTAGATATCGTGTAGATCTTCAAGGCAATTATTATTGCTTTGTACTTGTCATATGGGGTTGTCACTACTCACTATCACACTCTCAAGTTGTCATGCCAATTGACTACTGTACTAACATCTCTATGTTCTTCTAGTATCTTCTCGAGGAAGTTGCACTGGAGCCGATCCGATTGAAAAAAATTCCCATTCAGGTGAGTGTTTTCTCAACATTTTCATAATGGTTCAACTGGTTTCTGTCTGGAACTTGACTCTCCTATGCCTGATTTAGGCTCAGAGGGAGCTGTATCTCTTGCTCTCAAGGTTCATTTTCTTTTACAATTCAGGTAATACACTGTTCTCTAATAAGTTATCATTCGAAGCAAAACGATTCTTCTTGTACACTGACAAATTGTTGTGCAGTGGATAAACTCGATAGCTTCTTGAGGAACTTTCCAGAGTTTTCAAATGCTTTCTTGATAGGAGGACCCGGAGATTTTCTTGTTATCGAACTTACTGATCAGGTATAGAAGTAAACACTTTATATGACTATCTCCAAATTTTATCTCCCAAAAAGAATCACACACATCACTGATGTAATTTTATTTTTGCGGTGCAGCTGCAAAAACTGAAGGTGGAACCGGTGCTGCTACATTATCTTTCTCAGATGAAGATTCTTCAAGGTACATTTCTCTCCTTTAGAAACTTGGCTTGATGTTGCCTCTAAGATGGAATCAAAGTATAAGCAGTGTTGAATTACATCTGCAGGTATGGAACTGAGAATGACCACCAGCACGAGGTTAAAGGCATGTTTATATAGTTTTACATCTCCTGGAGGTCCAATGTACCCGACAAGAGCTGTCCGTCATGCAGCCTGGGATTCTTTGGATTCCCTCTTTCCTGTGAGTATTTCTTTGTGATAAAAAAAATCAGATTTAAACGCATTGTTTTGACTGCGAGATCCATAAGTGCACTGTTTTTAAAGACAGTCTAAGAATTTTAAAAATCGCTTATATCTAGAAGGACCCAAAGCTCAGCAAAACAGTCACAAATCCACTCAAACGCTTGGAAGTAGATCACAAATATGGAGTAGGCTTGGCTTGTAACATTGTGATACTCTTGTCTTGCAGGTCGGGCGTTACCCGAGGCATCTCATTAGTCTATTTTTCAGGCTGCTATATCCGTGGTACTGGCCATCCTCATGTTGGAATTTTGTGGTTTCTTGCATTAAGGCGGTACTATATTCTATCGTAAGGCTCATCTTTTCACGGCGAGAAAAACCAAGGCAGAGCTGAATAGCTTTTACTTTTGATGAAGCTAACAGCAGGAATCCAATCCTTGTGTATATAATGTGGTTTTGGTCACAGAACCTTAGCTTCACCTGTATTGCTTTTCTTTGGAGAAGATAAAAATCCGTTTTGTGAAACAGTGAAAGATCCCATGGAATAGCTTTTGACGTATTTTGTTGTCATTGTTATTTTGCTATAGAGGATGATGTATTGTGATCAGAAGCACTTTTTATGTAGAAGAACCGAAATGTCATTCCTTTCCTTTTGTTTTCAGCTGTATTGGATGTATAAGAACCCATTAAACAATTTTCATTATCCATGGAGCCATACACAGTATCTTACACTTTTCAACAATTTTGTTCCAATGGTTTGATGCAGACAAATATTATTCAATCAATATTCTGCAATATAATACCACACGGCTAGACTTGAGTGAGATAAGAGACTAGATACCACTTGTAGCCAAACCTGGTTTCTGAAAAATCTTTTGCCCGCATATGATCTGTAGATGAAATTAGGATTCCTCCCTATGTCTTTTACTCACGGGTATACCGATAAACAACAACTTTAACGTTTAACACAGATTCTCAATACTATAGTCAATTCTAGTGAAACAAATGAACAACACACAGCCAAAAAGGCACTAAGTGGCAAAAGCCTCTGGCAAACATTTTCCTCGATTAACTTCTGCTCATTGCCCAAACCCCCTTGCAGTTTGGGAAGCTCAGGTCGTTTCATTAGTTTGTCTCCATATCTCCAGAATGGTACTTGTCGAGATCTGCATCAAGATCTTCAGCAGATATCTTCTCTGCAGGGCCCTTACCAGGACGCCTACCACGACCACCACCACCTCGGCCACCGCCTCCTCGACCACCACGGCCACCGCCACGTTGTTGTCCACCTCTCCCTTGTCCTCCTCTGCTAACCCAGCAAGACACACACACACACACTCTTTTATAAACCCCACAAGATCATAGAAGCTTTATCACGTAATATACATAATGAACATCTGTATAATCTCACCTCCATGGAGCACCATTGGAGTTTCCATTGGCAGGTCTACCAGACTGTGCTGCAGCAGTTTGAAGATTGGTGCCCACAATCTCGATCTTCATGGGTTTTCCATCCAGCTGGACATCATTGTACTTTTTCACAGCTGCAAGTGCATCACCACGCCGAGAGAAGACTACTTCTGCAGTTCCCTATTGGTATAAAGTAGTATACAATACTTAGTCTTCAAGACTCAATTAGAGAAAAGACATATGTGCAACAAAAGTATCATCTCAAGTACCTTTGATCTTCCACTCCTATCGAAATGGACTGTGTAACGTTTAAGTTCCCCTACTTCAGCAAAGAGTTCCTGCAAATCAACAAACATATTCATATAAACAACTTCCCAAGAAAGAATCCATTAAGTATAAGACGATGCTAGTTCCACAAATCCTAACTATGAAGTAGAGTAGAGAACGATTTTGGCACCTTGATGTCGTCGTTCATGACTCCGTAATCCAAATTGGAGATGTAGAGCTTGGTTCCAGTTTCGATTCCGGCGGAAGAACGGCTGGACCGAGGAGGAAAAGCTTCAGCTGAATCGGAGAACATGTCGTGACCCCAGGAGGACTCCGGCGCCTATACAACCAAATGAATCCGTTGTTTGTTTTTTTCCTCTTTTGAGAGATTCATCAACACCAAAATCGATTTGCTTTTTTTTTTGATTATAAAGAAAACGTCAACGCAGAGTCTATCTATTCCCAGTATGAATCGGCAGATCAGAGAAGAAAGATCCGGCGAAACTAGAGAGAAGAAGAAGAAGAGGAAGAAGAAGAAGAGAGAACATATGTAGAACGGATTTGGACCTTGGCTGATTGGTATGGAGCAGATCGGTTGGATTTCCGATTAGGGTTGTTGCGGCGAGTTGGACCAGGTCCGGACCCGGAACCAGATCCAGATCCACGGGCGGGGCCGGCTCCACCACCACGAGACTTACGGTTCTTGGCGATCATGTCGTCGAGAGACATATCTAATCCAGTCGACATCTTGAAATATCTCCGATTGACGTTTCTGTTGCGACGGCGGAGCAGAGAATATACGAGAAAGAGAGAGAGGCGATGAGAGAAGGAAGAAAAGATTCAGCTAATCGAAAGATGAACTCAGAGCCGACACAAGGGATAATACGAATTGAAAGGCTATTATATATATATATATCATTTAGGATGAAATGTAACATCAAGGTTTCGTGGTGTAGTTGGTTATCACGTCAGTCTAACACACTGAAGGTCTCCGGTTCGAACCCGGGCGAAGCCACTAAATTAGAGGTTTTTTTTCTTTTCTTATTATACACTTAAACTACGGCTTCGAATATGCAATTGCATTAACTTCCAAATAATCTAATATATGTTTTCGTCTGGATTTTCTCTGATACAAATGACAGTATATGATTTTGTACTCTGTATATTACTAGCAACTTATGGTGCTCTCTTTCAGTGAGGTTGACTTTGTCTAATTCTTGCAAGTGTATATATATTCAGATTGGTGTATCCAATATATTTTTTTATTATTGGAGAATAGAAATCACTCTCGATTACATTTTCCTTCTTGGAAAAAACAAAAAGATAAAACCGCAAATTACAAATTTAGAATCATGATAGAACCACTCATCATACATAAAACATAAGTTTAAATTTCTTCTCCCAAATAAATCGATAAACATGAACGGGAACAAATATACACATTTTCTTCATTAGAATCTTGTAGGATGACGGAAGCCTTGCATCGAGAGTGACATTGAATGCAAAATGGTCGAGTGTTGTGATTATTAAGAACCACCTCAAGCTCATTTTCTGTTCCCCCAAAGACGAAGACTGATCCTGGCGTGAGACGTGAGAAATCTCCAAGTACGCACTTAGCATGCAAGGTAACTCCACAATCACAACATGTATAGAACCATATACTTGGATCTAATTCCTTCTCACAAATGTCGCACCAACATTTAGTACCGCTCACATCTTCCTCTTTGCCGCAACATAGGAAGAGAGGGTGCCCGTCGTTCTTGTGCCATATCTTTTTCGGCAACTTGGCACAACTTAAACACAAATCGAAATCACAATCTTCACAACGAAGTATAAAATCATTCACATCGTTTCCGCATCCATCGCAATAGTGGTCCTCAATTTTATCAAAATATAAGGGATGTTCATGGCCATCGTGAAGGAGAGGCTCATCAAGGGAACCACAATGTACATCTACATCCAGCCAATCTTTGGAGATGTACGTGAAACCATCAGATAATATCCCGCAAAGCTTGCAGTCTATAACTCCGGTACCACCTTTTATTAATTTATACGGTCTGATGCCAAAGACAAGCCTTTTCTGCTTAGGAAGATTAGCACACTTTTCATGAAGAATGAAAGGACACTTTTTACAGCGGTAGATCGGGTCAAATCCAACTGGATGGATACATGCTGCACACCATACATGCTCTTCTTGAACGACAACATCTTTGTGGAGCTTCAAAATATGTCTTTTATGACTAAAATGACGTATCAAGTTATTACCCACCACCTTGAATGGTGAAACATCTTCCGTGATCTCAGGTGTCCCTTCCAATTCTACACCATCCCATACGTCAGTTCTCACCGCACATGAAGAATGAACAGCAAAGTCAGGGCAAACAGAGCAAAAATAAGCCCCCTTGTACTGACTTACATTTTTGTGACAAACTCCGCATTTTGAATACCCTTCGCCGAGATGGTGAGTGAAATAAATGCGATGATCATGACGATTGATGTTGATGACACGGGGTAAGTCGATACACGCTCTTGCAGTAATAAAATCACATTGAAGACATACATACAAGGCACACTCGCTTTCGTCCCCACAAACATCACATATACATGTGGCTCTCCTAAGAAAGAGAGTAAGTGGGTGTTCGTGGGTCTTGATGTGCTCAATAACAAGTGGTGGTGGGTTTTTGGTACAACCAACACAAGATGTGAAATTGCAAATGGAACAGTGATAGAGCACGTCGTCTGGTATTTTTCCACATAAACGACACCCTGACTCGGCATCATCATCCGTAAATGATTCAGATGCGATTAGCTTGAGAGGATGAATAGAATGACAAGGATGATGTACCTCTTTCGAGAGATGGACGCAGTTCACGTGGAAGTATACACCGCACTCAAGACATGAATAGGATGGTCCGTCAACAGATTCCTTGCATAATTCACAAGGGACTTTCTCCTCTCGTACCTTCAAGAAGACAAGTGGATGGTCATGACACATCGGATGTTCGATAGCTAGCGGTGATGGTTTCATCCCACAAGCCAAGTCAACCTTGAACTCACATGTGGAACAGCTATAAGAGGGAAACGATAGCTCTTGTCCACACAAATCGCATGGAGCATCTCTCGGGTCATTGGTGAGCAAGAGGGCATGTTGGGGGTGGAAACTATGGTTGATGATCTCCCGTGGGGCCTCGGCGCACTCCTTGTGGAACCAAATATAACAGTAAGGTTCATTGCAAAAGTAGCCCCTGTATATATAATTATTGACATGGCAGCCATCACATTCGCCCTCAATAGTACGAGAAGAAGGAAAAAGAGGATGCTCATGGATGGGTAGGTTTACTGCTGTTTTGTCCATTTTTTGGACCGATGTAAAGTGAATGAATGAAAGAGGTGTGTTTTTTAGTTTGTTTGATGAGATCCCTATGTGAAGCCGGAAGACGTCGTTTTATATGCCTAGTGGGGGGACTAGTTTATCACTTAATACCGTTGTTGTTCGTACGTCGTTTTCCTAGTGGATCAGATAGACTAGTTTAATAATCGTTGTTCTGATTTCTACTGGATTGGATTGTTGGATCCGGTTATTATACTTATGATTTAGATTATATAATCACCCCCATTACTGTAGAACTAGATTCGGACCCGCGCTGCAGCGCGGGGGAAAATTACCGGGTTTTTAATTCTTTGTATGTTGCGGGATAATTTATTTGTGTTTGCTTTACTTTATTTTGATTATTAATTAAATTCTATCATTTTTAGATTGTATTTTTAGTGTTGGTTTCGAATATGTTCAAAATTATTTAAATTGTATGATTTTAGTTGAATTGTTAATTTTAGAACAATATGTGACATATATACATGTATAAATATTATACTATGAATCATTTTTAAAGTTTAGGGATTGATCCGCGGTACACCGCATAATCATAAATACATGATTTTAACTTGGACCTTTCATGCAGTTTTGTAAAATTGCAAATCTCTAGAATAAACAAATAAAGAGCCAATGATTTCTTATTTCTTATCGTGTTAAAATGTAAAATCTGTGTTTATGTTACAATTTTCTGGTAGTAGAAACTTATTTATATAGATAATATTTTCTTAGAGTTAGGTTAGCGTTGAAAAAAAGATTAGCTTTATAATCAAGCCATAAATTCGAAACTATTGCCAAATAAATATATTAAAGATGGTTGAAAATGAATTATCCCGTAATTGGTGTGAAGATCATAGTTAATATAGGAGAAAATTATACATCTAAATATTAATATAAGATATTTAAGGAACATTTTGTTTTGAAATATTATGGATAATTTGATAAATATTTTATATTTAATTTATATTTCTGATTTTTAGGTTAATTTGTTAAACCAATATACAAAATCATACATTAATGTATTTTTCCTTAAACAAATTAAGATTAATGTACTTTCCAAAACCGATATTGATGGTTTAATTTGGTAGATTTCGAAATAATATATATGGAAACTGGTATTTAATATCTTTAAATTTTTAGTAAGATCCAATTGAAAAATTTCGGGTTAATTTTTTAAAAAAACCCGACCCAAGAAACTTTTGTACTTCTCTTTTACTATAGTAGGGATAATACGAACAATGAGAAATTAAAGAGACCAAAAATAGTTAAAAATAATCTATTTGTTAAACTTTTCTCTTAAAGACAAACACGGTTGTGTTATGATCAAATTAATGTAAGGTCAAAATCTTCTTATTTTTTCTATTTTTCTTTCATTTAAGGCTGACCTTACGGAGATAATTATTTGTTATTATTGATTGTCTAAAGTCTTTTATTATTTACTACTCAAATAATTAAACTTAAGCAAGTGTTTCACAGGCTAATTCTTAAAATATTGTCTAAAGTCTTCGTCTCGATTTTGATAATTTCTCAATTTCGAGAATGAAAAAAAAAAAAGTCACATGTAGACAGTAGACAGCTAAGAGATTTGACTTCGATTCACAAATTATTATGGGTTGTGAGAGTTGTGATGAAACAACAACCGACGATAGTTTATTGTTAAGTCAGGAGCCATGAATAACCTCATCAGTCATCAGCCGAGTTGACTTGTATATTAGTGTCACAGCAAAATAATGAAGGTTCCATCCTTTCTCCTACAAGTTAATCCATTTTTTGTGTGCTCGTCGTAGCTATAGCCAAACCAAAGAAAACTAAGAGCGGAAGTATCTCTTGTAACATTTTCATGAATTTATTAATCATAAAAATCATCTCGTCTTATCTCGAAGAACTTGCCACTTCCGGAAAGATTTATCTCTCTATGCCTAGTCTCTTTGATCCTCCACTCATACACTTGTGCTCGTCATCTCTTGTGATCTTCTTGGAAGTTTCAAAGTCCTAATGGTTGCATTACTTGTGTAGTGTTTTATATGCGAGGTTTATTGATAAACCAATTCCATAAGTGAACACATTCAGTGGTGAATAAAACAAGGGTTTTCATCTTTTGTAAGGGATAATACTGATTTATATAAAAGAGAGCATCGGGACTAAATTAGAAACTGACAAGTGACAAAAACGAATGCTCATACATTGATGTCATTAACAAGCTCACAGCTCTACCTCTACCTCTACTCTAAGATAGTACCTTACATTACAGTGTATATGGATATCGAGAAACATGTTCACACAAATCATACTTAGTGGCATAGTGCCCACAGCAACAAATGAGGCGAATGTGAAAGAAAACTCAGAGAGTTGACAATCAACAAAGATATTCAAACAGGAAAGACAGAGGACTTGGATGTTTCGCTTCTCTTGAATTTAAAGATCTACTCCACTTCATATCTCACACACACACACTAATTTCAAAAATCTAAGCCAAAAATTAACAGCAATTCATGCATCATATAACATACATCAATCTAAAGCAAGGATCAAGAGTGAGGAAACATACATGCATGGAACAAAAGCAGCAATGAAGACAAGACTACTATTGCAAGTCTAACAAACGATTCTCAGCTACTAAAACAAAATCAGTGAGACGATAAGCAACAGCTAGGAGGCACGAGTTGGATTTTGCATTCAAGAGCCATTGGAAATTTCCAATGACTACATCAATAAGTAACAGTTGAAAGATGCATATACCACATAAAGTTCATTTCATAATCAAGTGGCGAATTTATTGAATTTTGGTTACCAGATCACAATGTAATTTCTCAAAGGCATAAACTCTCAACATGATTGGATTGGGACACAAAGCAAATATAGATTCCAAACATATCAATAGCAGATAAGTACTTACAAAATGTGAAATTGCAAACGAAACAGTTTCTTCAAAAACGACACTCTAATTCTAATCAATTCCGATCTCCCAAGTTCCATTAAACCCTAAACCAGTAACATCCAGATGATAAAAGTGATTGAAAAACCCTAGCTCAATTACTCAAGAGCTGGTGAATTTGGTAACGGCCTTAGTCCCCTCGGAAACAGCATGCTTCGCCAACTCTCCAGGAAGCACCAATCTCACTGCAGTCTGAATCTCCCGGGAAGTGATGGTAGGCTTCTTGTTGTACCTCGCAAGCTTCGACGCCTCTTGAGCTAGCTTCTCGAAGATATCGTTAATGAAACTGTTCATGATCCCCATCGCTTTGCTTGAGATTCCGATATCGGGATGAACTTGCTTCAGCACCTTGAAGATGTAGATCTTGTAAGTCTCGATACTCTTCTTCTTCATCTTTTTTTTCTTGTCGCCTCCGGCACCAGCTTCCTTCGGTAGCTTCTTTCCGGCCTTAGGCTTCTTCTCCGCCGGAGCTTTCTCGGCCTTTGATTTCTCCTCCACGGGCTTCTCAGAGGCTGGTTTCTTCTCCGCGGGCTTCTTCTCTGCCTTCGGCGCCATTGATTCGAGTTTTAGGATTAACGAAGCACAAATCTTAGATTGAGAGGTAGGTCTATTGCTTGGTATTGCTTGATACCTAGAAAAAGTTGAGAGATTGCTTTTATATAGATCCAATAGAGTGATATGATTGGATAATATAAGTTGACGCGGATCGATATCTGTACCGTTGGATCTGCTTTGTTATTGAAAAATATCGACGGTTGTAAAAGAATCTTAAAAAGAAGGAAATCTATTACGCGTGACTTTTCTATTGGATGCTCTTGGTGGCAAGGACTGATGACGTGTCGAGTTTGGCGTTTAGCTCCTCGTGAATTTTTATTTTCCCGCCCCCGCCATCCTCGAAATTTTCTGCATCGGCCCATGTATTCTAACGAGTCCAATTTTAGGCCCATTTGGAATTTGGTGAGATTGACCCGACCGGAGATGATCCGATTCGGTCGGGTTCCCAGATATCGGTTCGTTGTTCGCAACACAAAGACAAATGCTGCTTCTGATTTTACAGTGCAACCTCTTTGATGAAGCTCCCTTGCTCGATTCGATCAAGAACAAGCTCTCATTTTCGCCTTACCTGCAAAAATGTAAGCACTTTATTCGATTCCGCTCAAGAAGACTGTAAAAATGCTGAAGATTTGCAATTCGTCGATGCCGTCAAAAGAATCGTGCGGGGAAGACTGAGCTGGGAGATCGCATTGAGCAGTGAGCTCGTCTTGAGCAAATTCAAACCTGGTCATGTTGAAGAGATTCTGATTGGAACCCTTGATGATCCCAAATTGGGTCTGAGGTTTTTCAATTTCCTTGGTTTGCATCGGGGATTCGACCACTCCACGACGTCGTTTTGTATTTTGATTCATGCTCTGGTCAAAGCTAATCTCTTCTGGCCTGCTTCATCACTGTTGCAGACGCTTCTGTTTCGCGCCCTGAAGCCAAGTGAGGTTTTTGATGCGCTGTTTAGTTGTTATGAAAAATGTAAGCTTAGTTCAAGCTCGAGTTTTGATCTGTTGATTCAACATTATGTACGAAGTAGGAGAGTTTTAGATGGGGTTTTAGTGTTTAAGATGATGACGAAAGTTAGTTTACTGCCTGAAGTGAGAACTTTGAGTGCTCTCTTACATGGATTGGTTAAGTTTAGGCATTTTGGTTTGGCAATAGAGTTGTTTAACGATATGATCAATGTGGGAGTTCGTCCTGATGTATACATTTACACAGGAGTGATACGTAGCTTGTGTGAGTTAAAAGATCTCTCTCGAGCTAAAGAAATTATTGTTCATATGGAGGCAACTGGATGTGATGTTAATATAGTTCCATATAATGTGTTGATAGATGGCCTTTGTAAGAAGCAGAAAGTTTGGGAGGCTGTTGGGATAAAAAACGATTTAGCCAGAAAAGAGCTGCAACCTGATGCTGTGACATATTGTACATTAGTCTGCGGGTTGTGTAAAGTTCAAGAATTTGGGGTCGGATTGGAGATGATAGATGAGATGCTACATTTGAGATTCAGACCTAGTGAAGCTGCAGTTTCAAGTTTGGTAGAGGGATTAAGGAAGAGGGGAAAGGTTGAAGAGGCGCTTAACTTGGTTAAAAGAGTAGCAGAATCTGGTGTGTCACCTAATCTATTTGTGTATAACGCATTGCTTGACTCATTGTGCAAAGGTAGAAATTTCGATGAAGCTGAGTTGCTATTTGATAGGATGGGGACAATTAGGTTGTGTCCGAATGAAGTGACATATTCAATTTTGATAGATATGTTTTGCAGAAGAGGAAAACTGGACACGGCACTTAGCTTCCTGGGGAAAATGATTGATACGGGTTTAAAGCCAACTGTTTATCCATACAATTCTTTGATCAACGGGCACTGCAAGTTCGGTGACATTAGTTCAGCAGAGAGTTTCATGGCGGAGTTGATTAATAAAAGTTTGGAGCCAACAGTGGTAACATACACATCACTGATGGGAGGATATTGCATCAAAGGGAAAATACATAAGGCTCTTAGGCTGTATCATGAGATGACAGGGAAGGGTATTGCGCCAAGTATATATACATTCACCACGCTCATATCAGGTCTTTTCCGATCTGGGTTGATTTGTGATGCAGTAAAGCTATTTAACGAAATGGCAGAATGGAATGTTAAGCCAAACAGAGTAACTTATAATGTCATGATTGAAGGTTATTGCGAGAAAGGAGACATGGCAAAAGCCTTCGAGTTACAGAATGAGATGGTCGAGAAAGGTATTGTGCCTGATACATACACTTACAGACCCTTGATACACGGGCTGTGTTTCACAGGTCGAGCTTCGGAAGCCAAAGAGTTTGTGGATAGCCTGCACAAGGGAAACTGTGAGCTGAATGAGATATGCTATACCGCACTCTTACATGGGTTTTGTAGAGAAGGAAGATTGGAGGAGGCGTTAAGCATTTGTCAGGAAATGGTACAAAGAAGGGTGGATTTGGACCTTGTGTGCTATGGTGTTCTTATAGATGGAAGTTTGAAGCATAAAGATCGAAAGATGTTTCTTGGACTTTTAAAGGAGATGCATAATAGAGGACTGAAGCCTGATGATGTGATCTATACAAGTATGATTGATGCAAAGAGCAAAACCGGAGATTTCAAGGAAGCATTTGGTATATGGGATTTGATGATAACCGAAGGGTGTGTACCTAATGAAGTCACTTACACTGCTGTTATCAACGGGTTATGCAAAGCCGGGTTTGTAAGTGAAGCCGAGATTCTTTGTTCAAAAATGCTGCCAGGAAATTCAGTTCCTAACCAAGTAACATACGGTTGTTTCCTCGACATCCTCACCAAAGGAGAAGGAGACATGCAGAAAGCTGTGGAACTCCATAATGCGATCTTGAAAGGGCTTTTAGGAAACACGGCTACATACAATATGTTGATCCGCGGGTTTTGTAGACAAGGGAGAATGGAAGAAGCTTCTGAGCTCATAACAAGGATGATAGGCAATGGTATTTCCCCTGATTGTATAACCTACACAACAATGATCAAAGAGCTTTGTAGGAGGAACGATGTGAAGAAAGCGATTGAGTTATGGAACTCGATGATGGAAAAAGGCGTAAGGCCAGATAGAGTTGCATATAACACCCTAATATACGGTTGTTTTGTGGCGGGGGAAATGGGGAAGGCAACCGAGTTGAGGAATGAGATGTTGAGACAAGACTTAAAACCTAACACCAAAACCGGTGGAACAAATATTTCACATGACTCTAGTTCTGAATCCTGACCCCTTTTTGTAATTGTATAAGTTGAAACATTCTTTGACATCTCAACCATTTATAGGTAGGAAATAACTTTGTTAGTCGAGATTTCAAAAAGGTGCATACTCTTTGTATTTTGTATTCCCTTCTGTAACAAAGAGAACAAAGGGAAGCTTAAAGGAATCATCTTATACAAATCTTAAGCTTTGGTAGAGTTGAAACAAAGAGGAAGCAAACACAGGACGAACCTTGCGATAATTTTGAATTTAGATGAAACACTGTAAGGTAACATAGACACAGAAAACAGACCAGACAGATAGAATGAAGGGTGTTATGTTTTTCTCACAGTCACAAGAAACTGTAAGAGAATTGAAAACACCATTTCAGAATAGTCGAATATGATCGAAAGCTTATTCAAAGAGAGTTTCTTTTTTAGTTGACGCGGCTTTTCAAAACATCAAGATCCATCTCAGTTGGATCTGTTGCCTGAAGCTCCACTTGAATTCCGTCAAGTTCACGCTTGAACCTGTCCTTGGAGCTCGCATAGATCATCTTGCTTCTCACCTTTGCAACGTCCGGACACCTTCGGGAAAAACAACAAGGGGTAAGAATGGAGAACTGAGGTTACATGCTTTTAGCAGATAATAAGAATGGGAGAAACGAGAAATAATGTTACCATGCAATGAAGAAAATCTTGCTCTTCTGGCAATTCTCGGCAGTGACAAAGTCGAAATCATAAATGGCGTATCGGCATTCTTCAGCTGGAAGACTTGCAGCGAAGTCGTCGTAAGTTTGAATAGGTTCACCAACTTTCTCGACAATCACTTGCTTCTGCTTCTCCTCGATCTTGTAGACAATGAAACGGTGTGTCCTTTTCGCCTTCAGTTCCAGAAATCTAAGCTTGCAGTCATCATGGACCGCCATTCCCGACGCCGCATTAGCCTGTATTCAATACCAGAACAACAAAACATTTATATTCATATAGCATTTTCCAGATCCTGCAAAGCTAGGCGTGTAAATTATACATCCACCACAATGCTAAAAACCAGTGATCCCTGATTTAGGAGTCTTTCCTAAAACCTCTAAAACTAGATTACTCAACACAAAAACTCTTTCTCTTGATCTAGAGTTACGATCTATACTTCAGTTGCAACTAGAATCATCAAGAGAAATGAGAGACAACGATTGCAACAAGCCTGATACATCAAACAAACGCATATTATTGAAGAAACGTTCATATATGCGTAGAAATGGCCATGAAGTTGCAGATTCTCCATGATTTCGAGTGTATAACTAGAGAGAAGCACAACAGAGTTGGGAAACTTGTTCGTCATATTTTATTCAAAAAAAAAAAAATCTAGCTTAGATCACAGTACCACCGATCACATAAACAAAAAATCTCAAAGATCTAATCAGAGAAAACAAATCCATTTCCCAGATCCAGTGAGACAAAAAACAAAAATTCGTGAAGCGAGCTTAAAATTGAAGAGCTGGTAAACAAGCAAAATAGAGAGAAGAAAAGATAAAGAAGAAGAAAATAGAGAATCACCATGGCTGAATCAAAACGTTGTCAAGAGACAATTTCGGGGTGAAGGAGACGCAGAGAAGAATGATGTTTTTTATTTCTTGGAATATGACTCTTTTGCTTCTTCCTCTCTTTTCTACTTTCTTCAGCGTTATTTGGAAGCTATACTCCGAATATATAGAGAGAACCTCAATCTCCTTTTTTGTTTATTTATTTATTTTCTCCGTATTCCAATAATAATGGTAAGCATATTATTCTTCCTTTGGTCAACATATAATAAAACATGGGAATATTACCAGAGTGGGCACTTTTCGATTCCTTTCTTTCGAAGAAGGACCTCAATACAGTAGTCACGTACAGCTCAGCAAAAATCTCCTGTTCATGACATTTTTGTCCTTCTTGTCACCTACACACAAACATCAAGCCATGGTGTATCACGAGTCTGTAAAAAGATAAAACTATACCCTAATAGCAACTTAATCAACCCAAACCAATTTTAAACAGTTTGCCATCTATTACAGTCTGTTTCAATTTTTGTATTGTGTTTGTTCAACTTCGTTAGATAGTGTTGCTGATTTGATTTGTTTTCTCTTTGGTTCAATCGATTATCAACGACCGTGAAAACGGAAGGCCAAGGAGATTCGTATTCGTGACTTTCAAAGATGAGAAATCAATGAAGAATGCGATTGAAGGAATGAACGGACAAGAGCTCGATAGACATAACATCACCGTCAACGAGGCTTAATCACGAGGAAGCGGTGGCGGAGGCAGCCGTAGAGGTGGTGGCGTGGATACCGCAGCGGAGGCGGTAGTGGTTACAACGGAGGAGGCGGTGGATACGGCGGTGGCGGTGGAAAACGCGAGAGAGGATACAGCGGTGGTGGTGGCGGAGGTGGTTACTCGAGAGGAGGTGGCGGCGGAGGATACAACAGTGGTAGAAGACGTGAAGGAAGAGGAAGAGGATACGGTGGTGGTGAATGAGGAGGATACGGAGGTGGAAGCGGTGGATGGTAATTCCCTTAATTAGTTTGGGGATTATTACACAATTTTCTTTAATTTTTTCTTTCCTTAATCGCCGAGGATTGTGATCAACTAACATCATCTGAGAAGAGGGTAGAACAGACTTTTTACACTGGTTGAGTACCTAATTTAGAAAGAACTGTTGAAAATACCTAAAACGAAAGGATATGTTAAGAAAAGTGCCTTATTTATAATTAACTCATAAAACATCATCTATCTATAGAGAGGGCATGATTTAAATTTCTTGATTTAATTGCTTCATCAGTATTGCGACCAAAGATTTATCAGCAAAATAATTATAAAAACACTGTGGGAAATAAAAATATATTCTGACAAATTATATTTTACTCAAATTCGATAAGTCGACATGATTTGACAGTTGAAGGCTTTGCGTAGAAAGAGCAATGGACAACAGCCAATGGTTGGATCTATCTCCAAATAATCAAAAGTGTCAATTAAGAATTCTTATGTTTTGAGGTCATGTTGGAGCAGGCACGATTACGCAAATCTTCTCGTTCTTGAGACTAATCTTACTAATCCCTTTAACCCTAAACAGTCGCATTGCTCAATGCTCACAGGTCTTATTTTCGGAAATGTATGGAGTGTTGCATATAAAACTTCTAAAATATTATTTTACGGTTTCATAATTTATGTATTCTGCCATATTAAGTTTTTAAATCCCTGGATTATCAGTTTCATATATATATGTGAAGAAGAAGATGTGCCAATAGGATTCTTGTTTGATAAAGGGTTCGAGTTTCTTCCACAATGGTAAAAGAGCACAAGCCAGATTTCTTAAGTTTTAAGACAAAACACTATCAAGGAGACAAGGACCCAACAAAAGAAATCAAAGACAAAGACCAAAGACCGATAAAATGAAGCTGTTTTGGTTGGTACCGTCACAGCAAACTTTAAGAAGAAGCATCACTGGGTAATATTACGAAAAAAGTCTGATTCAACCGCAATTTTTGGGGAATTTCTTCATCAATTGGCTCGGCTTTTGAAAACATCAAGATCCATCTCGGTTGGATCGGTTGCCTGAAGCTCAATCTGAATTCCGTCTAGTTCTCTCTTGAACCTGTCCTTAGAGCTTGCATAGATCATCTTGCTTCTCACTCTGGCTGTGTCCGGAGACCTTGGCAGAAACGAAAACAACAAGAGATACTTATGAAACGAAGGTGAAGCAAGATAGACAGGTTTAGCAGAAAGATCTTAGTTAGCTAGTTACCATGCTACGAAGAAAATCCTGCTCTTAGGGACATCCTCTGCGGTGAGAAAATCAAAATCGAAAACAGCATAACGGCATTCGTGAGCTGGAAGACTTGCTGCAAGGTCTTCATGGGTTTCAGCAGGCTCACCGATTTTCTCAACAATCACTTGTTTCTGCTGCTCCTCAATCTTGTAAACAATGTAACGGTATGACCTTTTCGTCTTCAGTTCCATAAATTTCAGCTTGCAGTCATCGTGGACTGCCATTCCTGATGCTGCATTAGCCTGTTACCAATTCAAAAAAACAAAGAACATTCAGATACAACTCTCTATTCAAAATACATACACTAGTAGACTCCACATCCATATGGTCTGACTGAGACCTTTAATCCAAAACTAGCTCAGTGCAGAAACTAAGCATATCTAGTAACAAGTAATGAAACCGTGTACAGATCTTGGTAGTGTCTATATCAAAAGAAGGCCGCAAGTAACTTCAAGGTGTAGAGCTATCATGATATCAAATATGACAGAATCGTAGGACTAAGTATAACAAAATGAAATCGCACACCATCCATCAACGGAATCAAAACACAACTAAAATGAACAATTAACACTCCAGAGAAGCGAGAAAATATCATTCCAATACAAAATTGTCACTGATAAATAGCTCAACTAACGATAGACGAAACCCAAAACTCAGATGAAGTTCAAAGGAAAAAGATACATGAAATCCCAGATTTTTCATGATTTTCAAAACCAATTAAAGCACAGTAGAATCGTAGTGTTAATCATCCGATTCCTATCCTAGATCAGTTCCTTCGACCATACAAATCCAAAATCTCAGAGATCTAAAACCACCAAATCCAGATCTACTCATATAGAACTTTGGGCGAGAACTAGAAATCTGAAGAACTGAAAATCCAAGACGAAATGGAAATCGAATCGAGAAGCGCACTTCAAATCAAGCAACCAAAAAAACAGAGATAGAGAGACATGTGCGAGATAAAAGGAAAACAAAATTGAGCTCACCATGGCTGAATCAAGCTTAAGTTTCAGAGAAAATTATCGCAGAGAGGAAGGAAGCAGGAGGAGTCTTTTGTGTTTTCTTTCTTCGGTGGTGTGTGAGTCTTCTCTCTTTCTTTCCCTCAGCTTTATGCGGACGCTTTAGTCCGAATAAACATGTGTGTAAGCGTTTTAATTTGCTTTATTTATTACATAGGCCCATAAAAAGCATCATATATCACATAAATCATTCTTTTTAATATTTTAGATATAAATCTTGATTTAATTAATATATTATATTTTCAAGACTTCAACAACCTAAATGTGATAATTTTTCCTAGTAATGGTTAACAATCTATAAAATATATCACAAATGTTCCTATAATCCTATGAAATTTTTGTTGTTATTTTTATTGTATGTATAATTTGTAAGCAAACATGTTTATGTGAAAGCATGATATAATAACTATATTGTAAATGTTTTTGCTTAGAAGTAAGATGTAATAATAACAAAATAAACAGTATGCATATGTGAAATTTATAACAAATTAATTGTCGAACATTTTTTTATGCCACAAAAAAAACTACTATATTTATTGTAATAACTATGTTTACTTTTTCCTTTGATATATTTACATTCTTTTTTGATTCAAACTTCTGATGTATTATATATAATGTTTTCCGTAAAAATTAACTAAATAAGAATTTATATTTACTATTACTTGATTTAGAAGAAAGTACTATATTACTAAATGATAGATATGTTTTTTTTTTAGGTTTACAAAAGAAAAAAAAAAAGATATGTTTGTTTTTGGTAAAAGATGATAGGTATGTTCAAAATTCTGATGTTGATCAGTTTAATTATTCATGCCAAATTGCCAACCTATTGTTTCACAAATAAAAAATCACATATAAATAAGTACAATCTCACTTTTTAATACAAATTGTCTTGGATACACTCAGTTTAAAATTGTCCAAAGATCTTCGAAGTTCCGAATATATGGAAATGAAATATTGTTTGTAGTCAGTAGTCACGGAAGCAAAAATTCTTAAGAGATAGGTTTGATGAATGATGATCCATTAAGTATAGATCAACACTTTATTAATTCGTCGTTAAGAAAGTAAGAAAAGATTAGTTAGTACTTATCTTATAAAGGAAAGAATATAGAATGAAAGGTCGAAGACGCATATGGCTCTCTGATGGGCATCTCATGTTGGCTCCACTTTTAGGCTCTCAACTATCATCATAGCCGGTGATGGAGGCCAGCTTAGTCGAGCTGGAATATTCCATTCACAAAAGCCACGTGGAATATATGCAATGATTCCTCCAAAAACTATAAAGGGAGATGATATCAACTAATGTTTTTCGAAACTAAACTACAAAGCATACATATGTTTTCAAAACTATACGACAAAGCATGCCACGTTAATGTTTCCGATAACATATTACAAGAGAGAACATAACATGTCTCTACACGAACTCGATGTGTATCTTCAAAGATGTCCAAAATTTCTAGGTGTTTTTGACCGCCGATTGATATTGGATTATGGCTTGGCTCTTTGAGAAAGTCTAAAACAACTGTTAAGAGTGCCCGATCATGTCCTTTTTGTTAATAGACAGAAGCATGTCTTTTGGATATGTCTTAGCTAGTTTCTTGATCGTATTTGCCTATTTCTCGAATACAAATTAAGCTCTTGTCGAACCATTGTTTCAATAGCAATTAGGCTGATGTACGTCACCACATGTGTGATGTGTGTTTTGTCAAATCAATTGAACGAAACGAAAGCATTACTTCCTTCGAGATTTGAGATTCTTGATTACACCGTTAACATTAGACTATTAGATGGCCCTTATGCCGGTACGTACACTTAAAGGCTTACATTTATACAAAATGGCTTTCTTTGTCTTATTATGGAATGGACCTTTCGTGATAATTACTTGGCCTTCCATTAGCAGTAATTGTTACTCCGACAACACAAGATCTCCTTTTCGAGTTCAACATTCTTTTATCGCTGACTGGTTCAATAATTTATGTTCTCAACTATAAGTTTTGTGTCAACTCTTAGATAAACAAACAAACAAACAAACAAATATAGCCAAAACATACACTGCCTATAAAATACATTCATACCATATATGTATTGATCACTTGTTATATTTTAAAACAATCATGTAGGTTATAGTGTCAACTATCAAGAATTCCAAGACCAACACTAGAATATTATGGGCATAAACCATATATCTTCTATCAAATCATTTTGAGTTGGATGTCCGTCGTTACCTTTGCTTTGAGACTCTTAAGATATATGAACCAAATAATCAACATCTTGTTGGACATTTAAGAATTTTAACACTAGAGATACTATGTTAAAACTATTTGCTATGGATGTCACACCGAAGCGATATCGGGTGAAAACGTTTTAAGAACTTTTCTTTGAAAATGATAACACTAGTTCACAAAAGAACAAATGTTAAGACTTACCTCTTTAAATGGAAATGAGAAAAGACTTAACTCTCCTAATCCATTTCAAATCAAATCTCACTTTGACAACATAACCAATTCAATAAATAGTGTAAACACTAGTAATGAAATCAACATGATATAGTTTTTTTTTTTTTGTTACACGGTTTCAACATGATATAGTTCATAACTCATCTCTAACATAAACTTAATAATCTGATTAAAATACATAATTTTACGAATCCGAGGCATCTTCTTCTAGCGATTCGGAACGATGAAGAATTGGAAAGGCTTTTGAGTGGAGCCACGATTGTCCAAGGTGGTGTTTTGCCGAACATTCACTCTGTCTTCTGCCTTAGCAGACTGCTACGAAATCAACCGAAGAGAAGGCTCCTAAATCACCAGCTGAGTCTCGCAAGAAAGCTTGAAATGTCTTCTTTTAAAGTTAATTCTCATTCACCGTTTTAATGCGTTTCTTTGGGTACTCATAGTTAGGCTTTGGTGAATGTATATGATAATAAAAATATCCAGCGTTAAAATCTTTTTAGGTTTTATGTATTTTGTTTACTAAGTTGTTTTTAGATCCTATAATTTCCTTTTAAGTATCAATCCAAATGTTTTAGTAATCTCATCTCTTGTTTAATTTCTAATCTCTAGTAATTTTAATAACTTAGCAACTCCATTACAATATCTTCTTACCTAAAAAATAATATCGTTATACAATAACTAGATAAAGCATAATTTATACATTCCGATCCATAATACTTCAAGTTTTTGATTTATTTGTGAATTAGGTTTTCTTTTTACTATATTTTCGAGAAGCATAGTTAATTAATCTTCCATGATTTCGGAAGTTGCTACAAGCTTTGAATTTACTACTAAAACGTGTTCAATTTTAAAATTGATTTCTCTCATATGCTCTTCGAATTATGACTTCACAATATCGTTTATACTTCATACAATTGAAAGATGAACTATGTAACCATAAGAAAAAAGAAAGATTATAGATTTCCATTAAAAAAAAAAAGAAAAAAGAAAGATTAACAATGTAGCACCTTGTGTTCTATAATCTTAGATTTTAGAGGAACTAGCAAAAATAACATTTTCACCATACTTTTTTTTTTGTCAACTCATTTTCACCATACATTTTTGCAAAATTATCATATTTTGCTGTCTATTTTAAAAAATACCCTTTTTAAAATACAAAATGACAAATTATCTTCTTTTAGTAGAGTTCATTATGGAGAACAGAATATTCCTTTCAAATAACGGAATATTTCTTTCAAAGAAAAGAATATTTTTTCCAAAGACAGAAATATTTCTTTCAAAAAAATTTTACCAAAATTTCCCGCCAAAAAAAATTTCGTCAAAACTTTTTCAATCAAAATTTTGCTGCCAGAACTTTCCTGCAATTTCTTAAAAACCTTGTAAATATTTTAAAAACCTTATAAAACCCCTGTAAACCATTTAAAAACCCTTTAAAAACCGTTATAAACTTCTAAATCTTTAAAAAATCATTCAAAAACCTTTATAAATTTTTAAATCCTTTAAAAACCATTGCAAATCTTTAGAAAACTGTTTAAAAACCCTTGTAAATTTTTCAAAAATTCTTGTAAATCTTTTTAAAAATCCCCAGAATATAAAATTGCGGAAAATTTAATTTTTCATTTCATTGACTTAAATAATTTTCAAGTTTGAGTAAAATGACCATTAAAAATTAAAATCAAAAATGAAAATAACAAAAAATGTTAGTTTTGAGAAAAAGTATCATGAAAAAAATTAGTAAGAATTTCTTTATATTTCTGATTAGATAATTTAAATGTTACTGATCTACCCTTTCAAAATTTTGTAAATTAATTCCCCAATAATACTAAAATAACAAATACTAGAAAAATGCAGACAAAAAAACTGGCGCCTTTCCGAAAATCATAAAACGCCTCTCATTGGCTAATCCATAGAGACGCGGATCGTGTTACATTTAACAGTCACCGTCGAAAGTATTCAATCTAACGGATGGAAACCTCTCTCTTCTCTTTTCCTCTCCCCTATAAAACCATAGAGAGTACCTTCATCTGTAAATCACAAATCTCCAAATTTTCTCCAAACATTTCAATTAGATTTCTGTAATCAATAAGTGTAAGTAACAATGGAATCCACCGGCAAAGTGAAGAAAGCTTTCGGAGGTAGGAAACCCGGCGGTCCAAAGACCAAATCGGTTTCGAAATCGATCAAAGCTGGTCTCCAGTTCCCTGTAGGAAGAATCACTCGTTTCCTGAAGAAAGGACGATACGCTCAGAGACTCGGTGGTGGTGCACCGGTTTACATGGCCGCCGTGCTCGAGTACCTCGCCGCCGAAGTAAGTAAACTCAGATCTTACAATTTTAACAGTTAATCTTGTCTCGGAGGATTCAATTTTCTAATTTTGAGGTTTTTTTAATGTATATTTCAGGTTCTGGAGCTTGCTGGTAACGCAGCGAGAGACAACAAGAAGACGAGGATCATACCGAGGCATCTTCTTCTTGCGATAAGGAACGATGAAGAACTGGGAAGGCTTCTGAGTGGAGTTACGATTGCTCACGGTGGTGTTTTGCCTAACATTCACTCCGTTCTTCTCCCTAAGAAGACGGCTTCTACTAAATCAACTGAGGAAAAGGTCTCCAAATCACCAGTCAAGTCTCCCAAGAAAGCTTAAAATCTTTGCGAACGAGATCTTATGTTTGTGTTGGGCTTTGGTGGATGTAGTTAAATTCAAGCTTTTTAATCTTAGTTTTTATGTATTTTGTTGTTAGATGTTTGTTCAAAATCCATTTCCTGATTATAAGATCCTATCTGCTTTGTCCTTAATCACTCTGGCCCAATTAGCGAAATAATTCTTTTATTCGCAGAGATAATTCTCAATGTGGTCAAGAAAATATATCTGTTCTCCTCTCTCTTTGTTCGTTGTAATTCTAGAACATTGCTATGCAGTAGCGTCCATAGTGATCAATAGCACTTGTTCTATCAGAGATACAAGATACAATAAATTGTGCACTCAATGTGTTTGTGCAAATGCGTGAAGAAACAACGAGTTGCAGGGCTATCTTATGATACCAATGAGCCTGTGTTGAAGAGTGAGTTTGGTGAAGCTATGAATCGCCAATTGAAATCTGTTAGTCTTGTACAAAATTCCTATACGGATACCACGTTAATGTTTCCGATAACATGTGGTAGGATAGAACACAACATGTCTCTACACAAACTCGATGTATATGAGTATATCTTCAAAGATGTCCAAATATTTTAGGTGTTTTGGACCTTTTGTTATTGGAATATCACTAAATCTTTGAGAAAGTCTAAAACAGTTGATAGAGTGCCCGATATTTGCCTTTCTTTTACTAGCTAGGCAGAAGCATTTCTCTTTGTTCTTGATCGTATTTCCCTATTTCTCAATCGACTAGAAAGCTTTTGTTGAACCATTGTTTCAATAGCATTTAGGCTGACGTATTTTTAGGTCAGATCGAATGAACTAAAAACCTTACTTCCTTTGAGATTTGATGATTCTTGATAACACCCTTAACACTAGAGGCCTTTATGCCGGCACTCAAAAGGCTCATATCTACATCTACAAAATGACATTCCTCGTTATGGACTTCTCGTGATAATTACTTAATCTTCCTTTAGGACTAATTATTATTCCGACAACATAAGATATGTCTCCTTTTCGAATTCAACATTCTTTTATCGTTGACTGGTTCAATAATTTATGTTCTCAGCTAAGTTTTGTATCGACTCTTAGATAAACAAACAAACAGAGAGAGCCAAAAAAATACTCTGACTAGAAAACAATTCATACTATGTATTGATGATCATATGTTATAATGAAAAACAAACATGTAGGTTAAATCCAGCGTTTAAACCTTTTTAGGTTACGTGTTTGGTTTCCAAACTTGTTTTATATCCTACAATTTCTCTAAGTAACAGTTAAATGTTTTAATAATCTTATCTATTCAATGTTAGTATTTTTAATCAACTCCATTATGACTTTGTACATTACAATATCTTTGTACAATAACTAGATTAGCATAAATTAAACATTCCATAATTCTTGAAGTCGTTACTTATTTGCGAATTAGGTTTTCTTTTCAAAATATTTTCCAGAAACAAAGTTAATAAAGTCTTCCATGATTCGGAGGTTGTTACAGGCCTTTGAATTTACTGCTAAAACATGTCCATACATTTTAGATTAGATTTCTCATATGCTATTTTATGACCTCACAATATCGTTCATTCAATTGAAAAGATGAACTATCATGTTGTTGCACAATAAAGAATATATGATTAACAATGTAAAACCTAGTGTTCTATTATCTTACACATCTATCAGTCAATATAATCATGATTTTTTACCATAAAAATAAAATGTATCTGATCTACCATTAATTTACAAAACAATAGCGCAAATTTTGTAAATTAATTAACCAAAAAACTTAAAAATACAGACAAAAAACTGGCGCGTTTTCAAAAACCACAAAACGCTTCTCATTGGCTAATACATAGAGACGGGGATCGTGTTACGTTTAACATCCGCCGTCGATAGCGGTAAATCCAACGGACAAAACTACCTCTCTTATTTTTCCCTCTCACCTATAAAACAACCATACAGAGTACCTTAAACTTTAAATCACAAATCTCCAAACTCTCCAAACACTAAAGTAGATTCAGTAATCGGTAAGTGTAAGTAACAATGGAAGCCACCGGAAAAGTGAAGAAAGCTTTCGGAGGAAGAAAAGCCGGCGGTCCAAAGGCCAAATCAGTTTCGAAATCGATCAAAGCCGGTCTCCAGTTCCCGGTGGGAAGAATCACCCGTTTCCTGAAGAAAGGTCGTTACGCTCAGAGGCTCGGTGGTGGTGCTCCTGTTTACATGGCCGCCGTTCTCGAATACCTCGCCGCCGAAGTAAGTTAACTCAGATCTAGCAATTTTGAACAGTTAATTCTTTCTCGGAGGATTCAATTTTCTGATTCTCAATTTCGATTTTTTTTTTTTTCCAGGTTTTGGAGCTTGCTGGTAACGCAGCGAGAGATAACAAGAAGACGAGGATCATACCGAGGCATCTTCTTCTTGCGATAAGGAACGATGAAGAATTGGGAAGGCTTCTGAGTGGAGTCACCATTGCTCACGGTGGTGTTCTGCCCAACATTAACTCCGTTCTTCTACCTAAGAAGACGGCTTCTACTAAATCATCTGAGGAAAAGGTCTCCAAATCACCAGTCAAGTCTCCCAAGAAAGCTTAATGCATTCACGAAAAACGTGATCTTAGTTTTCTTAATGTTTGTGTTGTGCTGCTTTTGGTGGATATAGTTTTAAATTCAAGCTTACTACAGTCTTAGTTTTTATGTATTTGGTCTTTAGATGGTTGTTCAGAATCCTTTTCTTAATCATAAGATTTTATGATAGATTCTATCATCTTTGCTCTTATCTTTTTGGCCCATTTAGGGAAATAATAATTAACTATATCGACATATACGCGCCCTTGTATTTATTTTGACCAAAAAAATAATTCTATCTGTGGTGAAGAAAGGACAAAATGTTCTCTTCTCTCTTGGTTCGTTCTAATTCCATAACATCTCCACTGCGAAATTTTACAATTCGAGGGTCTTGTTCTAAACTATTCGTCGGAGGTAATTTCTTTGTCAATCCTCGATTCCTCTTTTTTAGCGCACAATTTCGTCTCTTTTGATAATACAGATATGGTTTGACAATTGTTTTCCATAACGATCAATAACACTTGTTCGATCCGATATACAAAAGATGTGCACTCAATGTGTTTGTAAAAATGCGTGAAAGAAACACTGTTTTTTTGTTTATACCACCAACGCAGGGCTATCTTACGATACTAATGAACCTGTTTTGAAGTGTGAGTTTGAAAAGTTTGGTGAAGTTATTGAAGGTACGAATCGCCGTGAAATCTGTTATCCTTGTGCCAAATTCCTATTATAGATTAACAATTGTATTCCTATTTTGGATAAACAAATGCAATTCCTGAGTTTATTATATTTGTTGTTGGATGTGAAAGAACAGTTAAAGTAATATGTGATCACAAGAGTGGGGAATCAAAAGGTTATGGCTTTGTGCTGTTTCATTCAGAGGAAGCAGCTGCAAGTGCCTTAGCTTCCATGAACAATCAGGTATTGTACAACAAAACCAAATACATAAAACGCATAGTAACAAAACCTTGACTATTCATATAACAATGTTATTGCTATCGTTTTGTTCAGTTACTTGAAGGCAGAAACATCAGAGTTGAATATGCTCAACCGAAAGGAGCTTTATGTCAGAAGTGATCTCAATAGAAATCAAACTTCAAAACTCCTGTTGTTTCACTTATTGGCTCTACCTTAACTCAGGAAATGCAACCACTCTTGAATGATTTTGTTGAAGATCCTTGTGTCTTTTTGTAATGACTGTGTCTCTCTCTTCTTCAACCCTGGTTACTTTTCATATTTGAAGTTGGTGCTTCTACTTCCTTTGCAGCTTCCACAAATATTAATCTGCTATCAACAATCTGAAAACAGATGACCAAATGCAAAACTTAGTCCAAGATGAAGGAGCTTAATTCATTATATACTAATCAGATCAATCAATTTCCACATTTTTCCATCAAAAGGAAAACATATTAAAAGCGAGTGAAGAATTGGATCATCACTTTCCCATTCAAAGCTTTTAACGCCTTTTGTGCATCATTCTCGGACTTAAAAGTGATGAAGCCGAAACCTTTAGGTCTCTGTGTTTGCTGGTCCTTGATAAGACGAGCTAATAACACACACATACACAAGAGACAATTAGTTTGTACACCATAATCAGAGCAGTTTCACATTCGATTCTGTGAATGTACCTTCTGTAATCTGACCAAAAGGCGAAAACAGTTGCCTCAGCGATTGTTCTGTAGTGTAAGCAGAGAGTCCTACAAAAGGAAGGATTGAAACCAAATGAGAAGCTGAATTGCAATATTTTGAAGTGAAGATGAGAAAAATATTATTTATCATACTGCTCACAAAGAGCTGTGCTGTGTATCTCTTAGCCATCGTAACCCAAAGCAGGAAGAAACCTGAATTCCAAACACAGACTTAAAATATGGAACTCAATACAACTGTATTAGTCTTAGCTCCAACGAAACGGTGCGTTTACAATGTTAGCGAAGTTTCAAGAAAAGGCCCAATAAAGCCCAATCTCGGATCTCTTAACCAGTCCAGTTAAGTTTCATAAGGCGCCCCAATAAAAAGCAAAAACCCTAATTCGCTTTGTATTTAGTTGTCTTGTTCAACTTTATTTCTTCGACGCTAGCAGGAGAGGGTTTGAGCGGCTGCCATTTTCGATTCCAAGGTTAGATATATCTCCACAGCTTCGAGCTTTTATTCCTTCTTTGGTTTCTCTGATCTGCTTTTGTGTCAGCTCTAGCTCAATCACAACGTGAAAATTCTGTAAAAATATTTACATGATTCTCTTCCTCTAGATATTTGAGTTCGAAACTGATAGTGTTGGATCTATTGAAATTTTGCTTTCTGTCGTTAGGTTCCTGTTGTAGCCGATCTAATGTAGAAATCAAATTCGTCTGTTTTCGATTGAGCTGCCAATATAGATTTGCATTGAAGCATAGATAAAAAAAGGAATCAAGTTTGGTTGTGAGCTTAATGAAATGTATATTGGTGTTGTTATTAGTACTTTCTGTATTATTTGTTCTATTTGAAAGGTTGATTAAGCTCAGGTTTGTGTTGTTTTGTTTTGGGTTACAGGTTTAAATTTTGTGAAGAATGGTGAGAATCAGTGTGCTTAACGATGCTCTCAAGAGTATGTACAATGCTGAGAAGAGAGGGAAGAGGCAAGTGATGATCAGGCCTTCTTCTAAAGTGATCATCAAGTTTTTGATCGTCATGCAAAAGCATGGTACGTTAATCTTTTATTGTCAAAGCTCATTTCGTTTCCTTTGTTTCTGTTCTTGTTCCATCTGTGACGTTTTTGATGTGACTGCAGGTTACATTGGTGAGTTTGAGTACGTTGATGACCACAGGTCTGGTAAGATCGTTGTTGAGCTTAATGGAAGACTAAACAAATGTGGAGTCATCAGTCCTCGTTTTGATGTTGGAGTTAAGGAGATTGAAGGTTGGACTGCTCGTCTTCTTCCTTCTAGACAGGTTAGTCTTTAATCTTGGTTCTCTTTTCACAAAATTCTTGTTCCTTGTACAGTGCCTGGAATTGGTTTTGGTTTTGTGGCCTTGTGTCATTATGTTTTGTATTCTGTAGTTAACTTGAGTGATCTTACATTGAGTTGTTGAATTGTGCAGTTTGGTTACATTGTTCTTACAACCTCTGCGGGTATTATGGACCATGAAGAAGCCAGGAGAAAGAATGTTGGTGGCAAGGTTCTTGGATTCTTTTACTGAATCAAAGCTTGAAGAAGAGAATCATACTGTCTGTGATGATACTTTGCTTCTCTTTTGGTGAGAAGAGGAATTCGATTGAGCTCAAAGTTAAGAGGATAGTAGAGTTTTTGATGCGTTCTTGTGTTTGTTTTCTTAGATAATATGCCATTTTGTTCGTTTTGGGTTTTGCGCAAAAGTTGTTAAAAGACTCACAAAGTAGACAGTTATCCTCAATTTCTGTTTTCTACAAAAAAGAACTTGCTTTCCTTGATCCTTTCTTATCTATCGGTACATTCCAATTTCACTACATGAGCCTGCTTTTTCTATAGCTTGTTTCATTTGATTTACTGAACTCCTCATATCTTATAACACAATACTAAAACACAACTGTTTCTGTGGGAAATTGCTTAACATGGGCTAATTTAGCATTTGTGGATACAAGACAATCATCTAAAACTCTTCACCATACTGTTTTGATGATTGTTCACGAAGACACGAACCATGCTTGATCAACGTTTCAGAGGAGGTACTGTAAATCTATGGGTAATAAAAATTTTAATTCGTTGATTTGTTGTAGTCTTGTAGATTTATCTATCATGTACTATGTATACTTCATACATTGAATAAAAAACTTAACTCAGAATTATTTGAAGTACAAAACCATCTTATTGAAAATATAAATCTCATTTTATTGGCAAGATCTCCCACATTTTCATACATAACGAGTACTTAAACTTATTATTTCATGCATCAAACACAATCTTAACATGGCCTTATATATAAAATTTAGATATTTTTGTCTATAAGGATAATCATCTTCTGAAACATGTTCAAGGACATTTAGATGTGCCTTTGGAGTTCTTCATATCGCGGTAACAAGGGCATTCATTTTTGTTTCCATAAGTTCCCGAAGGTACACAATCGCACTTCTGGCAACATATATTGCAATACTTGAGACAACGGTCCTGTCTTCCTGCCTTTGAACATCTCACATTGCATCTTCCGCCGCACGTTGCTGATTTATTCGTCGTCATCCAAACACAAATTCATAAGTTAATTAAGAATGCTGAACTCCAAAAAAAACGAAGTATATACATCTAAAAAAATTAAACGAAGATACTTACACGTATCGGCGGTTGAGAGCATGAACAAAGAAGATGTGAGGAGCAGAGAGATGATACAAATTTGTACAACCGGGAACTTCATCTTAGTTCTTGCTGAGATTTAATTTTCTTATAATCTGTTTGGAGAAAGTTTGTTACCAAGGGAAGATGAAGGAAAAAGAAAAAAAAAACTTGAAGTTTCCACACAATGCAAAAGAAGTGATGATGGTTTGAGAGGAATATGAGGCTACAGAGTTATTTATAGGGACAACTCTTGGAGTAGGTGAAAGTGTAACGTTTCTTATCTATTTGTTTTTTTCTATTTATTACAGCTTATATTTATCACTTAATCTTTCAGGATAGAGATAAACAATTACCACACAATTTTTGTGGTAAAAAATTTCATATGAATATTTGTAAATTTATTTTCAAAAAAAGAAAATTATATACCTTTTGAGTGTTTTTGGGGACTTTAATGCCTAATGTTTTATATACCTTTCACTAAACGAATGCAAACTTGCTTCAATCAGATCATGTTCCAAACTTGTGTATCGAAACTCACTAATAGAAAATGTTACAAAGATTAGTAAATCTGCTTTTAAAGAATCAATTAATTATTTTGGTTGCGTGCCGTTGTACAATTGTATTACATATTATTGTCGTTGTGATTAATTCACATATGTGCGTAATATATAAAAGGTTGATAAAACAAAAAAAGATTTGAAATACATACACATACACATGAAATGATTATTTTTCTTAGTGGGGAATACAATACAAAAGAGCACAATGTCGTTCACGTTGAGCGACCATCGCGTTAAAGCTATAATAAGAATGACACACGTAACAAGAATCTTAAGGCATGGCAACTTCTACATCTTTCTCTTCTCCTTTTCTCACATTTCAACTAAAATACAAACCATACAAACAAAAGGTTGGAAGAGAAAAAAGTCTATAATAAGATAGTGTTAGTTGTCTAAAGCTATGTATGCATTTGTGTTAATCTCATAGTTGAGCGTTTCCAATCATAGTCAAAATGATGGACCACCAAGTTGTTCACAATTAAATGTTTATGAGGTGTGTTTTGTCAAGATTTTAATTAAAAGTTAAGGGGGTCACTAGAGGAATTTAGTCCAATCGAGATGACAAATGTAATGCATTCAACTTAATATTTTGGTTAATGAGGTGTGTTTTGTCAGGATTTAGTTTAAAGTTAAGGGGGTTATTAGAGGAATCTAGCTAGTCCACTTGAAGTGACAAATGAAAATGCATTCAACTTCGTGTTTTAGTTAATGAGATGTGTTTTGTCATGATTTAGTTTAAATTTAAAGGAGATTCTTAGAGGAATCTAGTCCAATCGAGATGACAAATGGAATGCATTCAACTTTGTATTTTGATTTGGTAAAATGATTCTCCGATCCTGAGACGTAAAAGTCTTTTTAGCAAACTTTTGACTGCATGCTTACATATTAATATACAAAAAATTATACACTTATCCTGAAATCTCTTAAACTTAATTGTGAAATTTTTAAGAAATACATATTAAAAGACATTTACTTAAAACATTGACAATTCAAATACTTTTGTAAGAGATGAATTCTTTATTAAAGAAAAAAATCATAACACTCTATTTTTCTTCTGTTTATATATCCACTATTTTACTAATTTCAATTGACTAATCTCCTCTTCTTTTAATTTTGTAATCTTTTCTTACTTCATATAAATATTCTCTTTGATCATTCACATATATATGTGCACGCACACATAGATTTAAACTTTAATTTCTTGTAAATCTTAAGTTTGATTTCATTTTAAAAATTTTAAACTTTTTTATTTTACCCATCAAGTCATCATTATATATGTAGAGAAGTCTTTGTTGTCGAGATATGTTGGCAAAACGAGTAGTAGCTTACAAGCATATCTATTACCATCACCACCCAAAGTTGCCCTCTTCCTTTCCATCCTTTGTGTGACTTTTTGAGTTTTTTTCTGACTTTTTATTATGCGGATCGATCCTTATGGAATTGTCACTGATCAATCCACGTGTCTGTTCCTGATTAGTTGATCAGACTTATCTTAAGAAAAGGCCCACAAAGAGGTTATAAAGAAGGGCTCATAAAAGGCCTTTCATTCTTTTTGGGCCCTCTCGGACTATGATCGCTCGGGCGCTAACTTACGCTGGAGGTAATAATATCGTGCACGCGAAGAAGAAGCAAGCCAGTAAGAGGAAGTTAAATCAGGACTGGCGTATTTTAGCCGTCCGCCATTTCCATCTCTCTCTCGTCCTTCTCTGCTCATTTTCACTATAACCTCGCTCTCTTCTCTTCTCTGCATCACTTTTGATCTGGTAAGCATTCGTCGTTGATTCTCTTGATTTTAGATCTCCTTCGTGTTTATGTGAAGCAATGTTATTTTGGTTTTGATTGATCTCTGAGCTCTATTTTTTTTTGTTTTTCGAATTTAGATTCGATGGCTGCTCCACCTGCTAGGGCTAGAGCTGATTACGATTACCTCATTAAGCTTCTTCTCATTGGTGATAGCGGTACGTATTCTATCTTCGGGATCCAAGCGCTACCATCGATACATTTTGAATTCTCTGAATCTATTCATTTACAAAAAATTGCTCTGTTAAAACTGATCTAGTCACTGCGACGTATCGGAAATGTTGATTTGATACATGCTCGTCTTTGATTTAGAGTCATCAGTTTACGAGTTTCTGAAACTGCTATAACAATGTGTGTTTTTAGATCTCTGTAGCTTTGGGATTCACACAAAATGCTTGTTTCAGGTGTGGGTAAAAGTTGTTTGCTTTTAAGGTTCTCTGATGGCTCTTTCACCACTAGCTTCATCACCACTATTGGGTTTGTATTCCTAATAACCATGTAAAGAGATTTTAGAGACTTTGATGTCTGTTTCTCTCTAGATGTCTCTCTTAGTCTGTTCTCTTTTGCTTTTCGATGCAGCATTGATTTTAAGATACGAACTATTGAGCTTGATGGCAAACGTATCAAGCTCCAGATTTGGGACACTGCTGGTCAAGAACGTTTCCGAACCATCACCACTGGTAAGTGTGATCCTCTTTTTCATTTGAGTGGCTTTCTCTATTAGTGTACTTAACGTACGTAGTTCCACATGAAGTTGATTTAGAAAGGATTAAAAGTCACAGTTTGATGCTCTTAGCTCTTGTGGCTGATGCTTTTGTATAGTTGACGTGTTGGGGATATATAGTTGTTTATCTTTTATTGCAACAGTAGTTTGAAGAACTAATGTTAGGTTCCTCTTTTGCGTTGGCATCATTGCAGCTTACTACCGCGGGGCAATGGGCATTTTACTGGTGTACGATGTCACAGACGAGTCATCCTTCAACAGTAAATTTTCTTCTATCTACACATTACATCTCTGGTCTTACATTTCTGCTTTGTTCTGGACCTTTTTTTTAAAAAACCTTATTGCAGACATTAGAAACTGGATTCGTAATATCGAACAACATGCTTCGGATAATGTCAACAAAATCTTGATAGGGAACAAAGCTGACATGGACGAGAGCAAGAGGGTACAATACGAGCTAGTTCATTCACATTGAAATGATCAAGTCCTGATTCATGACTGATCCAACTAATGGCGTTTTTGGTCACTGACACATTTTTCAGGCTGTGCCAAAATCAAAGGGTCAAGCACTTGCTGACGAATATGGAATCAAGTTCTTCGAAACAGTAAGCCAAACATGATCTTCAATGTTTAATTTCATGAGAATAGTTTAGACTACATTGGTTGTATTTGTTTGCTTACATAGCTAATACGTCACTCCACATCTCAGAGTGCCAAAACAAATCTTAATGTGGAAGAAGTTTTCTTCTCGATTGCAAAGGACATAAAGCAGAGGCTCGCTGATACTGACTCGAGAGCAGAGGTTACTTGTTAAATTTTCCTTAAGCTTTTATTTCGTGGTCCAAGGAACTGAAAAGAAACCCTTTTTGTCACAAATTTATTATTCATTTCAGCCTGCAACGATCAAGATCAGCCAAACGGATCAGGCGGCTGGAGCAGGACAGGCCACACAGAAGTCTGCATGCTGTGGAAGTTAAAAAGTCCCAGTAGCTCTAAAATTGAAGTGAAGTAAAAAAAAACATATTTTTATGTTGTGGCGCTTTTGTAATTTTCCCCCTTTCCTGATTTGTTCTTAATTGACCTTTTCTAGTCTGTTCATGAGGGTAATAGAATCTTGAAGATATCGTTCGTTCTCAAACATATACGTTATATCTGAAAAACTGTCTCTGTGTCTGACTGATTTATTAATCTCTTGCTTTAAGTTATAACTCCCCAAATATCCTTACTTTGATCGCTCAGTTTCTCTCTAACATCATCACTGTCTTAAAGCTTTTTCTTTTGGTACACTTATCAAAGGTTCTCTTTATACATAATTATGCAAAAAAGCAAAGTTTATCAAATTAAGATCCAGCAAAATGTGTACAATCTTACAACTTCCCAATAATATTTCACATTCAAAAGGAACGCTCTTCTTTGCCATAGATCCGCTGAAGTTCCCTAGTCGCCGCTTGGAATGATTCTGAACCAAACCGAAAACAGGACATTAGGGGAAAATTAAATGTAAATACATAACCATGAAAGAAGAAGAGGGTTGAACCTTTCCAGATGCGAAATGCTTTCTGGTTAATAGGAGAACCAAATACAGTCTGAATGACATCAAACAGCATACTCTCTTGAGTGTTCCTCAGTTCCTGAACTATCTGATATATCGTCTTCCCGTTTTCAAAGTAAATATGATTGTTCGGATGCTTTGTTTTACATCCGGCGTGTCTCTCAAATGCATATGCGTTAAGCACCTTGAATAATTAGAGTAAAAGCAAAATATTATTTTGTGCGTGTTCCAGCAACAAAAAGAAAAGAAAAAACCTTTTCTGTTGACTTACCTTTGTGAAATCGCAAGTTTGACATCCACAGAGATAACCTGATCCTTTGATGACTCCTCGAAGCTCCTGATATTAAGATTGTTTCAATGCAGTTACAAATTCAAAGGCTTAAGGAAAATGGTTCGCTTAAAGAGGAAATTTAGGGCTTACCTCTCGCGAGAGAGAAATATACTTCACAGGAACACCATCGAGCATACCGGTTGATATTAAGCTTCTGACGTTTGAAGGAAAGCTTGTGGAAGCTTCCTTCTTTGACGTCTTGGCCTCTGCTTTGTTCTTTGGAGGAGTTTCCAAACTCGGTTTAGCCATTTGTTGTTCACTTACAACTCTACTGCTGGTCTGAGAACACCCAGTTTCTTGGCCATAAACCATATCAGATGTTTCAATAGGATCCTGTACATAAGACTGATAGTTGCCATTGGAACTAGACCCAACACCGTGCTCATCATTAATTTCACCAAATGTGATACCATGAGAGTCCTCATTGCCATAAGGATGACCCGCCAGTGCAAAATTTATAAAGCTACTCTCGTTTTCCCGGCTACAAGCTTGGATCGAAGACGACTCAATTTTCCTTTGACTATGACCATCTAGAGCAGCATGTGTACTCATCGTTTCCTTAACCCGACTAACCGGAAGTTTCCTAATTCCATCACCGCCGAAACAACTCCCAGCAACCTCCACGCCATTAGATATCGACAATTCAACAGATGTATTTTCCATAAAACTCTCAGCTATACTCTTATTTTGGTGGTGGCTACAACCTTCAGTTCTATCTCTATCACCAAACAAAAGGGGTCTTGACGGCATTTCAGCACCTAGAAGCCGATCCATAAACTGGTTAGAGACGGATTGAAAAACAGAGGAGCTTTCCCACAAAGGAAGGCCTAAACTTGATTTCCCTAATCCTCCAACTGGATCTTGCACAGCTTGTTTCTTGTTTGGGAACATATCTGAGCGAGAAGAATCCGCAAACCAAGGATGAGGACGCTTTGAATCGTCCCTTGTTGAATGATCATACACTGAATCTTCCTCACTTGTATGCTCATTGTTCTTCAGAACCCAAAAACCTTTGCTTTCATATGACTGGAAACATTACAATTTTGAACCAAATCAGAAGTGAATGTGATCCTAAAACCCATAAAAAGAACATATACTTTAGGAAACATAAACCCTAAATGAAAAGTTCAGAGGCGTACCATTTTCTCGTCCTTTTCGATTAGATTCAATCTCCCACGTCGTCAAAGAGCAAGTGCGAGTTGTATCCTCCCCAGAAACTTCAATTCGCAAAATCAAACCTTCAAAACAATTTCGCAGCTGGTAAAAATCTTCTTTTTTTTTTTAAATCGCGACCCAAAGATCAATCTATAAAAAATCGAAACCTAATCGCTCAGTAAAGAGTGTTGAAAATTCTGAAAGTCGATAAATTGTTGAACGAATACGACTGTGCCCTAAGGAGTGAGATTGGAATAGGTGAAAAAATTGGAGAAAATAGAAAGAGATCAGTACCCGTAAATGATCGCCGGAAACTAGATCGCCGGCAAGGGAGAGGGTAATTTCGCCGGCGAAGATGTGATGATGATGATGATGATGATACGGTGCGCGAGAAGCACCAGAATTTAGCTTCAGCTATGCTTTGGGGTTTTTTTTTTTGGTTAAAGCAAAAACCGCATGATCTGATGCTACGGTTACCACGAGGCTATCTTACGCGTGCTGAGTCATGTCTAATCGTGACCGTTCATCTTCCACAAGAGAGTTGTGGGCACCAACTTCTTTAAATTTTGTTTTTGCACCTCCTACTAATTTTTTTTAATCAATTCTACCCTGAAACCCAAAAAAAAAACTTTGACAGTCAAAAACAGAACATAACATTTATCTTCAATATTATTGCTGATGCTTAGAATTTTTAGAACTTTTAGTTTTTATTATATATCATTTTTGCTTATTTGATCAAATCCATTTATGCAATCAAACAATCTAGTTGAAGCTTCCGTATTAGTTGAAGCTTCCGTATTGGAGTTAGGTGATTATTTTGGACTATATATAATATAGTTATTATACACTTTATGTTACACGAGTTTTGTTTTATAGTTCCCAAGTTTTGGATGTGGCTATCCTAATTATATATATATATATATAGAAAATTAAATGTAAGATTAAGTCCTTTAAATATTTCAGCTGATATCAAAATCATCCAAATTCCAAAACACTAGTTTATGCGACCCAACATAATAACATTTTTTTGAAATAGCTAACAAGTCTTAAAACACTATACGTTCGAAGAGATAATGATGTTATTAGTTTCTACACTGTGGAACAGGCTCGATGCTACCTTACTATACTAAATATGTACAAATCCAATATGCATATCTAGACAATTGAGGAATTGAGGAATTGAGGAATTGAGGAATTGAGGAAGGGTACAATCGTCATCTCGTAATCGCTTCTTATTCCGTGATACGACTGAACTTTCGGCCCAAATAGGTTGGGTTTATGGCCCAATATATTATTCGTTTTCTTCTCTGTAGAAGAACAGTCAGTACTGTTTCTGAAATACTGGTTTCCCTCTCCTCTCGCCATGAACTGAGCTTAGGTTTTCTTAAAAAAAAAAAAATCCAGATTACAGTTCTGTCAAGCAGCGGATTGCTTGGAAACTAAACTGAATCGTTCAGGAATCGCGGATACGATCAATTAAATCAAGGTAATTTGATAATTCTTTGTGTTTTTTCCTGATAAAATCCTTAAATCTTTTGAATGAATGATCCTTTCGGAAGTTTAGAGTCTAAGTTTCTTTTATCTCTAGTCAATATTTGGAATCCATTTATTAGGAACCAGTGGTTTTATTCGGAACAGTTCGATCCTTGTTTCTTGGATGTAGAAACAATTTGTGTTGAATACAACCTGTTCGATAAAATGCATGAACGAGAATATTTGGTTTTTATAGCATGTATAATCTAAGTATGGTTATAATTTTTTGAGCATATGGTTTGATGTGATTAGGTGTTTGCTGTATCAGCAACTTTTTGTTCTTCAAACTGATGATTTTGGCTCGTTGAAAAAAACACAAATCAGCTTATTGAACCTTACTATTATTATATACTCAATAGTAACAGTTTTCTTTTATGTGTTTTACTCTCTTAGAGCAAGGTCACTGTCAAAAGATGGCTCCAACAAATGCACGTTCCAATTATTTAGGAACTTTTCAATCCCGGAGGCAACATCGAGCGCTGATTCGTGTACCAAATGTTCTGCCAAGGTCTTCTACATACCCGAATCTTGAGTTTGAACTGTCTGCATTGGAATCAATGCCTCAGGTATGCATGTATTCTAGCTAAATTTCTTACAGTTTGAATTTATAATGAATTTGGATCAAATTTTTAAACCTTTTTGCAGGCACAATCAGCCCCATCCCCATCCCCAGTCCCAGTCCCAGTCCCAGTCCCAGTCCCAGCCCCAACGCCAGCAGCCTTACCATCCCCAGCCCCAGTCCCAGTCCCAGTCCCAGCCCCAACGCCAGCAGCCTTAGTCCCAGGCCGTGGACCATATGTCCGAAGTCGATTCTCAAGAGAAACTCTTGATGTTATTGCATGTGCGGCTCCCGTCTTCGGGATTATCTGTGCCCTTTCACAGGCTATACTCTTAAAAATGCTGGATGTACCAAGTGGTGAATCTGCAGTTCAACATACACCAGCTGCACCAACACCAGATATTGCCCACATGCTACATAATGTTTATAGTTCCCTATACTATTTTGGAGTCTTCGGCTTATGCCACATTTGTGGGAGACTTGTACTTCCACTAATTCCAAGCTTGCTACCGGAGGACACAGTAGTGTCGTTTATCGTGGACGAGGTTATTACTATACCAACTGGACTCGCTTCTTTGACTATGTTGTTTGATTTGATGAATGCTGGATTCACCAGAGCTAGTGGTATCGCATTCACGACCATTGTTCTGGGTAGGTATGCTCTGGTGTTATATGAAAGTGGGTTATTACAGAGGTGGAGAAGGCTCGGCAAATGATTGATTTGGGTGATTCACGGTGGGTTACATAATGATTAATGTTGTTTGGTCTGTTGTTTTTGTAAAGCGAGTCTGAGAGAAAGAGAGCTCATATAATGCTGTCAGTTTATACTGTGTGTGAGTTTTGGGATCTTTTGATTAGTTGCTTCTTTTGAACTCTTCTCTGTTTTCTCTTTCTGTACAATTGAACAATCTATTTATAAGAGCAAAGTCAGAAACAGAGAAGAAGAGTTTTCAGGAAACTGGCACGTGATTGAATGCCTCGTGACTATTTTGTTTAATTTGATAATTTTCGATTAAATCTTTTATCAATAATGAGATTTGGTCATCAAAAACTCAATTTTCTCGGTTTTCTCAGATTTAATTAGTAGTTGCTATTTCAAAACTGAGAATTTGACACTATTTTTTTAAAGCTCTGATGGAAGTTTCCATCAATTAGTAATGAAGTTAGTTTAGAGGTTAGTTTCTGACCAAAAACACTCGTATAAGTTTAAAACCAAAAACAAAACAAAATAAAATTGTATGATATAATAAGAAAACTAGAAAAGAAAAGTGAGTAAAACGGGAGACCATAAAAGAAGTCTACACTGGTAGAGAACTTTGGTTTCCTTGCAAGTCGTCATCAGAGTCTTCGGCACAGAAACATACACAGCCACAGCAAAGGGCCATGAACACAATGGAAGAGGGTAACCCGACGTAGAGAGAGAGTATGGGAGAGATACAATTGAGGAGAAAGACGACGAGAGCAATCCCTAAGACATGACTCACGCATTCAACTACGAAGACACCGTAACCTTCGGGTTTCCCGGGATTTGTGGGTGCCTGGAGCCCGACAAAAGTGGCATTGATGTACATGAATGCCAAAAAAAATCCCAAAATTTTTTGGGAGTAGGTCACGGGGATCTTGTTTAGCCTTATGTACAAGAACTCTGCAAGAGCCGCCGACAAGATGAGTATGTGCATGGTTAAGACGTAACGGATTTGCTTCGTGGACCTGCATGCGTGACATATATACCACCACCAAATTAAATAATATAAGATAACATATGCAATCAACCCATGCATTACTTAGTTTGGAAATCAAATTATATAGCTAGCCTACTACACAAAGAAATATAAAATAATAATCAACGATCCACTCACAATTTACATCCAGGTTCAGCCATCGTTTCGCTCTTGTCCATGATGATGAATATGGTACAACCTCCTCTGTAATTACACATATTGTTTAGTCGATACTTGTATATATATAGTGTACCACGTTCAACATCCTATTCCAACTCGAACTCGGATGTCAATTAATATGTTTCTGTTTTAATTTTTTTGCGGGATATATGTAAATCTTTTACGATTATTATATTTTGACAAGTTTGGGAGTTCGTATGTATCTAGTACAATTCTCAATATATGCAGTTTCTCTTCTTTTCTTTTTTTTTTTCTTTTTCTAATTTAATAAATGAAGAGACTGAGAGAGTCATATTACATTGTGGAGCAATATAGTATTGCGATGCGATGGTATATTTTTTGGTATGATGGAAATGATATATTTAAGTCACTTTTCAAGACTTCGAAATCATACTCTACAATGTAGTCACGTACGTACGTTTCATTGACTAAGTTTGCACGAAAGTTGTTTCGAATGTACGATTCTTGTTTAAGAAAATACTCAAGTCACTCCTATCTGTGGTATCTTGTCATATAGAGAAGTAGAACCTGAAGACTATAAAGAAAAAATAAAGTTGATACTTCTAAGTGTACTAGAGTCTAGAGATATCAATCCACAACCAGAATGGCTTTATGTGTTCACAGTTCAGGTTCAGGTTCTCATATGATGATACACTAGCTAGCTAATGCTAACAACTATATATAGCTAATCCTGAAATAACTTTTAGAATATATACCAACCTTGGCAAATATTTAAAGAAACAATTCTTTTTTTTTTTAATTAGCTTTGATTTTTTCCACGTCATCAATCTCGTAATGCGTAAAATAATCGAGTCCCACATTACACGTATGCTAAATATGCCACGTGATCAATCTCGAAACAATATCTTCTTTGATCTCCTCTCTCTGTTCTACCACCTCCCCAAAAGTCCCAATCTTTCAATCTCTTCTTCTCTGTTTCTCTCTATAAAGTTTTTTATTTATTTTATTTTTAATAAAAATTTTCTATTATAGAGCAATTGGATATAGTTCTGTCGTAAAAGGAAATATTGATACGAATCAAAACCAGATTAAATACTAAACAAACCAGATTAAGCAAAATCTGTTCTTTTTTGAGGTTTAAAAGTCAGACATGATGAGAGGTTTTGGTGGTGGTGGTGTTCTTCATCTATGGATAAGCTTTAAGCTACAGAGGTCTGCTTTTTTTTTGTTTTTCTTTTGTCCCTTTGACAAGCTGGTGCTGTTTCAATTTGGTGCCTATCTCGTTTAGTATACCGTAGCTTATAGTTTCATTTTGTACCATTTGCTTATAGTTTGATATTGTATCTGGGTTCTGAAATTTTCTAAGGACTATGGGAAAGTAGGAGATCTAAGAAATCAAAGAGACTGTGCTCAGTGTTACTCATCTCTTCTTCTTTAGTTGTTTTCCATCTCTTGTTGCCAAGTACTGTGATAATTTTGTATTGGTACATTCATAGCTTTTTGATTTCAGAAGCAATAACTTTCGGATTGTTTTTAAAAGCTGATTGTGTTACTATTGAAATTTGAATTTGCCTCTGGCTTGTTTAGCTTTTATTTGGACAAAGCTTGTTAATTTATCCAAATTCAGGTTTTTATTTGGTTCTGGTGTGATTTTCTTACGAAATGTTGATTTTTTTTTTGTTTTTTTTTTTGTTTCTCTTATTCGGTTGAGGTTTTGCTGAAGGGATTAAAATAAGTTTGGCGAAAGAAGATATGTGCAAATGTTATGTCAGTGTAGAGGGGAAGTTTCTGCAAAATCTTAGACGTTATTTGATGCTGCTTCTGTTCTATCTTGTTCATGGAGGCTGGTCTTAACACAGTCATCAGACATTAGTATTCTAAAATGTGTTTTAATAACAACGAAACTGGTGATGAAGTTGAAACCGAGAGGCAAGTGTTTGGTTCATCCGAACAAGATGAATTTCGAGTTGGAGATACTACTGGAAATGCCAACAATTTGATACAGATTTCTCAACAACAACCACCGCTAGCTCCTGTTGTGAAGTGGGAGAGGTATCTCCCGGTTAGATCACTTAAGGTTCTTCTCCTTGTTTAGCTATCACATTGTTGTTTTCGACTAATTGTTGTAAATTTGGAAACATTTCATCAGTCACTGCAGCTTCGAATGTCCTTGAAGCCTGGAGAATCCTAGAAGACGAGAAGAGTTGCATTGATCTTGTATTAACAGAGGTTGTCATGCCTGTGCAGTCTGGAACTTGTCTGTTGTCCAAGATTACGAGCCATAAGACACTAAAGAACATCCCTGTTATAAGTATTTACTTAATCTTCATTAAATTTTCTGGACCTAGTTTCAGTATGTGATGCTCAGTTAGTGTAACTCAAGATGTGATGTTCTCTTTTTTTTTTTGTAGTGATGTCATCTCATGATTCTATGGTTCTGGTCTTTAAGTGTTTGTCGAATGGTGCTGTTGATTTTCTCGTGAAACCCATTAGAAAGAACGAACTAAAGAATCTTTGGCAACATGTCTGGAGAAGATGTCACAGTGTAAGTGTTCTGCTTTGATTACTTTTTATTTTTGAAGTTACTCTGTGGACTGTGTTCTTATTTTTTGTTTATGAGTTTCTTTATATACCAGTCTAGCGGAAGCGGAAGTGAGAGTGCAATACAGAACAAGAAGCCAGTGAAAACTGAAAGCTCTGAAGGGTCAGAAAACGATGCCAGCATTAGTGATGAAGATCAGGGGAATGAAAATGGGAGTAATGGTTTGGGTGACCGAGATGGTGGGAGTGATACCGGGAGTGGAACGCAGGTAATATGTTTCCATGGCAATAGAGAACAGTTATGTCTGAGGAATCTGTTTGTGAGTTTTAATTGGTTTTCAATTATAATAACAGAGTTCTTGGACCAAAAGAGCTGGTGATATCAACAGCATCTCGCCTTCATATCAATTTCCCGATGGAACCAATATGAACCCGGGAACTAATGGCAACAGATTGGATGATGTTAATAAACTGAAGGAAATTGAAGATCAGAATGAACAGATAGGTAAGAGCATAAATTTATTGGCCAATTAAAATCACAATACACTGGTTTTGGAGAAACATTCCGGATAATTTCTCTGTTGTACTCTAACTCAGAACGATGACTTTAGATGATTTTGCAGTAGGAATGGGATCGCAGGAAGGAATGTTTATAGGTAAAAAAGTTGAAGAACGAGGAAACCATGACAAGGATGCAAAAAATCATGTTCAAGCTTTGGAGAGAAACAATGATAACTCACAAGTAGAAAGCAAAGCACCTTCATCTCTCCCAGAAGATTTGCCAAGAGAGGCTGGGGATTACAGAATCGGTGATCAAAGTGTTTTGAGGCATTCCAGTCACTCTGCATTCTCAAAGTAAGTTCTTGACCTCAACTGACAAATCAAACCTGTGACTGATTTGGAGTTATTGTTTCGTGTGTGATATGCAGGTACAATAACTGTGCTACTTCTGCTTGTAAGGTATTTTATGATGTGTGGTGCTGTCTTTAAAATCTATGACAGTTTTCATCAACAAGCTTTAATTTTTGCTGACTTAGGCTCCAGAAGAAAATGTGGGAAGTTGTTCTCCTCATGACAGTCCTATTGCAAAACTGATAGGTTCGGGTTCAAGCAGTGATAATCCTTTGAATCAGCAGTCTAGTGGAAGCGAAAGATCAGCACAAAGAGAAGCTGCTCTGATGAAGTTTCGCCTCAAACGTAAAGAACGATGTTTTGAGAAAAAGGTAGCTCCAAACAAGCTTAAGCTCTAGTTTTTTGAGGCAAAAATTATGCGCCTGTTTGTTTTCTTTAGGTTAGGTACCATAGCAGGAAGAAACTAGCTGAGCAACGGCCTCGCGTCAAAGGTCAATTTATTCGCAAGTAAGTCTGAATCCACTTACCATATCACTCTCTGAATATACAAATTTATTCCTCATATAGTAATTTACTGACGTAGAGAAACCTTTTTTTTTAACATTAGGAGGGATGATACTAAATCAGGAAGTGAGTGTCCAAGTAGTGACGACAGCTAAACAACGAAATTGGTATAAAAGAGAGAATAGATATACACACTTAGAAGATCTAAAGAACAAAAAAAAAAGTTTCACTAAAGTGGAGGGCATATATATACAGTATATACTTTTTTCAAATAAAGTCTTACAAAGACTATTGTCATGAGAATTTTCTTGTGTATTAGTGTATTGTTTAAATATCGTATTTCTACAAACATAATAATGTTGCTACAGAATTTTCTTGTGCATTAGTGTATTAGTTCCTTCAATCATTTTACTCAGTAATCTCTGATTTATATTTAAAAAAAAATATTCATTGAGTATCCCTTAATTACACTTTTTTTTTTGTTAACTTCCATGCCGTTAAGAAACGAACCAGTAAACAGAGTAAAAAAAACAGAGTATTATTAATTTACCAATTTAATAAATAAACAGAGCATACTCTCACCTCTCTCTCTCTATATATATATACATTTTTTTCCGCCGAGATCGTTTAGTGCTCATCATTAACTCACTCTCTCTCGTTCTCTTTCTCGCTCAAGTTTTCTAGTTGAGAGTCTGTTTAATTACGTTCTTTTCCGGGAAAAAGGTTTCTCGAGAAACTAAATAGAAAAGCCTCAAGAAAGATTTCTCTTCGCTGATCGTTACGATGATGAAAGGTTTCTTCTGCTGTGTCAAAGGAGAAAGCTCAAATAGCGCAGCGCAGAATCAAGTGTTTGACGACGAACCATCTGGGCGAAACGAGTTCCTCAATCGTATTTGGAGAGATGAGCTCCAGATCCCTCAAAGTCCTGGAGTTGAAGGTTCCGCTTTCGTTTCAAATCTTTAGGAATCGAGATTTCTTGTGTGTTTATGGTTTCTTGTACCTTAAGCAAATCTGTTCTTTAAGAGTTACTTGTTTCTTCGTTTTGATCTCGTCACTTTCTCATGCAAGTGAAAGTCGTAGAGTTCTTCTTGTCTCGAAATTAACTGAATCATTAACGTCATATTATAGTCGTGTACCACAAGAAATTGATTTAGGGTGATCTTGTTCAATCTATCTCTAACGTTTTAGTGATTCATTTTGCAGATCCGAATGCTATTCTTTTCCCTATAAACCCACCTCTACCTGCCAATTGTGGACCATCATACCAATGGCGCGAGATCTTAGACGGAACCCTAAACTTCCGGCAAACGTGTTTACTCGGCAGAGGCAACTTCGGCGATGTCTATCGCTGCGAATTCAGAAGAACTAACCAGGTATAGACCCAAAAGTCGTGTCCTTTATGGTTAAATGTCGAAACCCGGTTTCTAAACTTTTAATTGATTAGGTTGGAGCTGTGAAGATTCAGAATCGAGACAATCCAGCAGGTCATCAAGAGTTCTTGGCAGAGGTTACAACGTTACATGAAGCTAATCACCCAAACGTGATTAAACTTCTTGGAAAATGTTACGGCCGCAGAAACCGTGCTATTGTTTACGAGTTCATGCCCAATGGCTCTCTTGAACGCCACATCTTTGGTAAAGAAATACTCAAACAAACCTTTATTTAGTCTGGTGTTTAAACTTACTTAACTCCTTCATTAACATTCGGTTTTTTGTAGATTACGCGAGGCAGCGTCAGAGAGTGCGACCTCAGGGTATAGATCAGCCAACTAGGCGTTTGGATTGGGAGACGAGGATGAAAATTGCCGTGGGTGTAGCTGAAGGTCTGCTTTATCTACACCAGGAGCTCAAAGTAATAAACCGAGATATCAAGGCCGGGAATATTCTCCTTGATGCGGATTTTGTGCCGAAGTTGAGTGATTTTGGGTTGGCCACGAAGATCAGTTTTAATGGGAGCTTGGAGATACATAAACAAGCACGAGCCCTCAAGGTTAATAAGCAATGTGCTGCACCAGAATCTGAGTTTTGTGGGTTGGTTTCTACGAAGACCGATGTATACGGTTATGGTATACTAATTCTGGAACTTTTTACCGGTTCAGAAGCCTACGACTCACAGAGACCTGTTGGGAATGGTAAAATCACTGACTGGGTAAGATTTCTGCAATTTATATCTTTTAATACTTGTGATACAAAAACTGAGCATAGGAATATTAATTTTGCAGTTGATATCCAAATTAGAAATAAAAGACATTGGTTCACTGGTGGTAGATGTTGCACTGCGCAGAAGTTACTCCCCAGAAGGGTTGAGAAAAGTGATTTGCATTGCCTTAAAGTGTCTTGCACCTGAACCTGAAGCACGGCCTACAATGGAGGAAGTACTCTTGAATGTTTCTGAGGCTGCTCTATTTCAGGTCCGAGAGATGCCCCGGGTGTTAAGGACTGGTTTCTTGACTCCTTAATATTTGCTCAGGCTGTTCAGGCTTTTATATGGGTTTTTGGGTTTTTTTCAGAAACATATTATAGACTTGGTTTTGTAACGGATGGTTTTGTTACTGGTTCTACTAGCTAATTTGATCATGTTGTGATTTTTTTGAGACAATACCATCTCAAGTTGTTAATCAACGTTTAAGATCTTTTGTCTTCATTTATCTGTTTATGAAACTTCTTAAAACAGAGAAGAGGTAAAAATAACAGACACGATCTTGTTGGAGTTTTGTTAGATGGTTAAAAGCCTTTTTGATTTCGGATGGAAGAACCCACCAAATCAATTATATCAATGCATGTGATTCTGCAACTTTACAAATCAAGCATGTGAAAGGTCTTAACTCTTGATCATATTTACCAAGAAGGAAACTCTATATATGGTTTGAATCAGCAGTTTAGTGGTTATCATCACCGTAAACATGGAGTCATCTTCCTTTAGGGTGGATGATTCTGTCTCAGAAATGAGTTTCCAAGTAGTGACGACTCAGTTGAACACCAAAACTGGTATAAAAGAGAGATTTTACTTCAAAGATCTGAAGAACAATAAGATAGTTTCACTAACTTTAAGAGAGAGTTTGGCTATACTCTTAGAAAGATTAGTAAGTACTCTGGTTTAAGTATTGTATTTGGCTATAGTGATATCAACTATAGCCAAATACTTGTAGTTCTGGTTATTTAGTGGTATCTAGTCTCTTATCTCACTCAAGTCTAGCCGTGTGGTATTATGATTGCAGAATATTGATTGAATAGTATTTGTCTGCATCAAACCATTGGAACAAAATTGTTGAAAAGTGTAAGATACTGTGTGAGACTCCATGGATAATGAAAATTGTTTAATGGGTTCTTATACATCCAATACAGCTGAAAACAAAAGGAAAGGAATGACATTTCGGTTCTTCTACATAAAAAGTGCTTCTGATCGCAATACATCATCCTCTATAGCAAAATAACAATGACAACAAAATACGTCAAAAGCTATTCCATGGGATCTTTCACTGTTTCACAAAACGGATTTTTATCTTCTCCAAAGAAAAGCAATACAGGTGAAGCTAAGGTTCTGTGACCAAAACCACATTATATACACAAGGATTGGATTCCTGCTGTTAGCTTCATCAAAAGTAAAAGCTATTCAGCTCTGCCTTGGTTTTTCTCGCCGTGAAAAGATGAGCCTTACGATAGAATATAGTACCGCCTTAATGCAAGAAACCACAAAATTCCAACATGAGGATGGCCAGTACCACGGATATAGCAGCCTGAAAAATAGACTAATGAGATGCCTCGGGTAACGCCCGACCTGCAAGACAAGAGTATCACAATGTTACAAGCCAAGCCTACTCCATATTTGTGATCTACTTCCAAGCGTTTGAGTGGATTTGTGACTGTTTTGCTGAGCTTTGGGTCCTTCTAGATATAAGCGATTTTTAAAATTCTTAGACTGTCTTTAAAAACAGTGCACTTATGGATCTCGCAGTCAAAACAATGCGTTTAAATCTGATTTTTTTATACACAAAGAAATACTCACAGGGAAAGAGGGAATCCAAAGAATCCCCAGGCTGCATGACGGACAGCTCGTTGTCGGGTACATTGGACCTCCAGGAGATGTAAAACTATATAAACATGCCTTTAACCTCGTGCTGGTGGTCATTCTCAGTTCCATACCTGCAGATGTAATTCAACACTGCTTATACTTTGATTCC